CTCTTCAAATACTTTAAATCATATCTCTTGGACTAAATAAAACATGAGCAGCCATGGATTGTAAACTGAAGGGGTATCAATCATCACACTTATTAAAGCAACAAAGGTTTAATGAACGATAAATAAAAAGGATAGGTAAGATTATTATACCAAGAACAATTAGTATATTCTTTTTGCGGTAATAGAAATTGTTGTCATGTCTCTGTTTTAAATTAAAGCAGTGACATCATGCTGTATATTTTTGTTTTCTATATTTGTCAGCTTCTAAATATTGTGAAGCTGTTGTATTTTTGGTCGAGGGTGTCATGCTGTGAGAATGCCCTATGCCTGTTCCTCCGTCGGTATTTGAAAATGTCATAAAAAATATCCAAGAACGTTTTTATCTTTATGTTTATATGTAATAGTTTTTAAATAAACTGACATCCTGTTACCTTTTTTCCCTGTTTTCCGGCACATCCTCATCCTGGGAAATGAAGGCCAGGAGTAGTTGAAAGGAGAGTCTGAGTCAGAATCCATGACTTTTGATGTGAAAGAAAAAACCTTCATCCAAACAGCTCAGAGAGTCCCAAACATAAACGAGTGGAGCCTCATTTTACATCCATTCCCCACATGGCTGAACAGTCTCCAGACAAGCTGCGGCTCTCGCTCTTGTTTTTCCAGAGCCCCGCTGCAGAGTCTGACACTTCAAGAGTGAGCCAGCATGTTCCCCTCTGCCTCCTCTAACCACCCCTCCCCCTAAAATCCTTGCCTCCCCCCTGCCTCAACCCGACCAACAAAGCTAGGACACAACTTTTTCATCTGTAGCCTCGTTTTTATTCTCTAATAACTTGCTGCTGCCTTTCAGTTTGTCTCAACTCTGCGTCCATGTTCTTTAATCCAGTCATTCATAGATTGTGCTCAGTAGTGAGTGAGTGGGGAAGATATCAGCACATACTGACAGCAGAAGGGGGAGGAGGGTCCTGACTCACTGAAGAGTGACTGAGGGAAGGAGTGAAGCAGAGGGAGAAAAAGAGAGAGAGAGAAAGTTGAACATAGGAGTGACTTCAATCTGCAAAAAAAAAAAAAAAAAAAAAAATGCAACAGGCAGCTTCAGACATGGGAGAAATCATCAACCCACTGAGTTGGTGATCATCTCAAAGACAAGCCGCTCTGCAGCTGAGTCCAAACATGCCACATCTGAAGAGAGTTCCCCTCTAGCAGTGCACCTTCTCGTTCTTTATGTTTTAGCATGTCAAAGCTGAGATGGGGGTGGGGAGGGGGACTGCCAGGTCAGCAGCCTCACCATGGAGACAGCAGTGAGAGCCGCTGCTGTTTTCTTCTTCCACGTTGCTGCTCTTCTACTTTTTCTTCTTGCTGACGACCTGCAGGGGCACGAACAGCGCAGCAACCCAGAGGCAAGTAAAAATCCTCCAAATGGGCTGGTTAAAGGGAGTTTAAGAGAAAAATTGGACAATGATTCTGCAGAAAGAGGCCAAACGCATGTTTGTGAATGCACATAAATTTAAGAATGTGATAAAAAAAAGGACAGGAAGGGTTTAGTAGGGAGAGTATCTGCTGAGAAGAGAGAAAGAGCCACACTGTGGCTGCAGAAAAAAAGTTGTGTGGGTGTGCGTGCGTGTATGGAGAAGGCTGCTGGAGGATGTTGGCACTGTACTGGTGCACATTAATGCTGGCCTTTGTGGGGTCTGTGTGAGGTTTAATCCTTTTTTCCAGTCTCCAATTAGATCCCTCGGTTGGGGTCGAGGAGATGGAGGAGGGGGGCTGATCTTGTTGGGGCTCCCAGCATTGCACTTATCGTTTCTTGTCACTTCACCAAACTATCCCTATCATAAATCCCTTTACTGTTGCTCTGTGTCTTTTCCCTGCAGCTTTAAAACTCCTGCGCTCTCCTCGCCCGTGGGGATTTCAATGAGCGGCTGGAAAACTGCATTCAGAAAAATCCTTGGCAACCCCCATTCAGCCACAAACACCTCTGTTAAAAAAAAAAAAACCACCAAAAAACTCTCCTTTGCCCCCTTTTAAAATCATTCTTCCCTTCTGTGGTTTTCTTTTTTCTCACACAAAATAATTTCCACATTCAAAGCTTCTCTCTTCATTTAGCTGTGAAGAGCCTCTCTTTAAACTCACATTAAACACGGATGTATACAGTGGACATTTTTGATATAGGCAACATAATGACTCAGGGGGTTGAAACAGGAAAATATATACATGAATGGATGACGAGAGGGCCTCTTAACTAAAATATAGACTAACAGGTCTGTGACAGCAAGAAATTCCCCCCACCCCCCAAAAAAAACCCAAATGTTCTGGATTTGTCTTTTAGATTGTGTCTCTCAATTAATATGTATCTATGATGAAAATTATGACCTCTCCATTCTTTGTATGTGGGAATATGTGGAAAAATTGATGTCAAATGCTTATTTCCCCCAATGCAGGCAGCTTGCAGTTTTAATGCCTCACCTAAACATACATTTACACGGGGCAGCAGGAAGCTGCAATCAAACCTACTACTGCAGTGGTGAGACACTGCAGTAGTAGTGTCTCACCAATATTTTTGATGCACCAGCTTCATTTTTCACATAAATCTCAATCTAGTGTTTCAGCTCCAAGCAAAAACACTTGGAGCTGAAAGTGTTAGACACAACAGCCTTGGATCAGGTTCAGAGCAAAAACATTTAAAATCTGAGGTGGCTTATTAACAATACCTATTTGTCTATTTTCTGGATATGGTATCGCACAAATTGTGTTAGAAATGGAAAAACCTTCCACTATTAAATATTGCTCTACATGCATGTGATACAGTGCTAAAAATGTGATCAATTGTGATCAGTGGCAAAGCTTCTAATTTTTTTATTGCACCACTTCTAAAATATTTTAATTATAAATATACACAAGTTCACTTGCTAATTTGCTTTTTAAATGGTCAAAAAGCTATTGTGTCTTCTGTCTTTAAACTTAAATGAATTAATATATATGTGTTTTTAATATACACTTGAACTCTTGTAAACAGTATGGCCTTGTTAATGAAGTTACAGTAAGCTGAGCGGGTGAGAAGAAGGATGACATCAGGAAGACAGGGGGAACATGACAAGTACCTTCCAAATACCACATCCCATGCTGAGACCCCGGCTGCACAGATTCTATCTGTCTACCTGATGACGCATACATGCCAGTCAAACGCCATACTGCATGTGTCAACAAGCTGATGCAGTCACAATGTAAGGCTCAATAGTTTGCAAAATATGTAAGGTCAGCCACTCATGAGGCCCGGCAGCTCCAGAAAAACTTAATGTCTTCAAAGCTGAAAGTGGGTGTTATTAAAGGAGATGTCACATTTTAGTCCAGTTACATTTTTAGGGAGCTGAATGAGGTCAGTATACAGAAACTTTACAAAAATATGCTAATTTAGCCAATAAAAACACATAAACATGCAGGACCAGAAACAGAAAATACTTCACCACCTAGAGAGTGTTGTAGTCCAGTTCCAAGTATTATTAACTTGTAACCACAACATTCTTACACCAAGGCATCAGTCTTCTCTGCAGCAATCAAGACAATTATTAACCCACAGGATGTTCCCAGTTTAAAGACCTTCATTTTACTATCCAGAAGCTGCTTAGAGCAAAACCACACTCAAGCTTCGAGCATGCTATTCTAGTCCAGAGATACTCAAACATTTTAGTACCAGCACAGTAAAAAATACATTTATTGAAATCACCACCACACTGATGGACTTATAAAACAGTGGTATAACAGGACTTGGACCTTATCGGTTTGCCATTTCGTGCTATTCAATGGGACGTTTGATACCAACATGCATGTTCCTCTGATAAGCAACAATTTTAAGTATTTTATAAATATGTAGAATATATATATATATATATATATATATATATATATATATATATATATATATATATATATATATATATATATATATATATATATATATATATTCTCGTCATTCCCTATTGTGAGAAAATGATTACATCAATCCAACAAATAACACATCCCAGCAGGACATTTCCTAAATTTACTCTAATTGGATCAGGATCCCATAATCTGTAATATTTTATGGGACAACTGGCTCAAACAAGAATCAGAACCAAAACTAATAAAAACAGGAAGCACTAAAAAGTTGTTGGAAAACATTATTCAGCTGACATAAATTACATCAGATTTCCAGCTTTTTATTTATACTTTAATCCCTAATAATCATAACATTAAATGGTGAAAGGGTAGAGCTGTTTAATGATAAAAACAAAACAAAACCACAACTATTTCTGCTGACAGTAATAATATGCACACTGTGTAATTCATACCCTGCCATGCACTTTATTAGCTCATTAGCTCTATGTATCTCTTAATTACAGGACTTACAGGACTTTATGCTATTTTAAACTTCTTTTGAAGGTTAAAAAAAAAAGAAAACTTGTTCTTCAAATCAAAGTCTTTAAACCTTCAATATGGCAGCAATCTCTAACATTTGGACAATGATTTAGAGTACTTGACACCAAAACATCCTCTGAGAACCATTAAGTTATTTGAACCACAGTTTTAAAATGCTGTGTCTCGTTTTTTTCCTACTTATCAGAAATCAGGTGGCTCAACATCTTCTTTGCCCATCACATCAAATTTAACAACTTCTTTTTGGTAGCGCCATAACTATAAAGTAGCAAGATTCCAAAATCTCCAAAGGTTGGAAAGAAAAACCTATTATCTGGCCTGAAATGTGATCCCAGTGTCAGCTGGGAATGTAGTCAGCCATGGTTGACCATTAATGCTAAGCTCCAAGTTTTGGTTAAAAAAAAAAAAAAAGAAGTAAATGTTTCCTCTTTTAATGATTAAAAGACACGTTAATAACATCCTACGAATAAACCAGCAATGATCTGTTTAAATCAGCACAAAGTCTGATCTCTTGCAGAAGCACAAGTAGCTCAAGAATTAAAGCCAAGTCGTAAAGAAAACACTTGTGCTAAAGGAAACTTTAAGATATTTACCAGAGTCAAAGTGTGAAGGATCGTCGTCTTCGTCCTCCTCGTTCAGGGCAAAAATCAACGGCTCCTCGCAGTCCTCAGCAAAGAAGTTGAGAACCTTTTGGTGGAACAACAAGCACGTTTACTCGGGGAAACCTTTTGCCTCAAGCATACCAGAAATCACAAGCAGAACTAAGCACAAAAACACAAGTGTTTGGCCATCGCCTGGCCGTGTGAGAGAAATCAATTAGTTAACCATCTGTATAACATAAAACAGGTTCCATTGGATGACCAGAGTCATGTGTCACACCTGTCAAAACATTAGACACACATTCAACCTGCTCAACAAAGCCAGCTTTTCTTTACTGTGTGCAAGGTGCCAACTCCAACACCTTAACAATAAGAGATGCAATAAAGAGCATAGAGGCTCAGCCACTTTCTGCAAAGCTGGTGCAGATGTTTATCAAACCTCCATTCAGAGGAGGATTTAAAAGAATGAGGAAAATACACAATGCTAGGAAAAATATTCATCTTCTCACAAATTTATTTGATTTTTTTTTCTTTCTTTGTCACGCTAAGATGTTTCAGTTCATTAAACAAATGTTCTTATCAGATCAAGGTAATCTCATTACTATCCAAAAGAAATGAGGAATACATCAAAAAGAAAGGAAATGGTCTCACATTTGCTTAAAATGAATTTCTGAAATGTTATGAGAATATTTTGTGGACTCCTGAGACAAAAAATAAAACTATTTATTCTTCACATCAGATCTGACACTAAACTAAAAAGAAAAAGAACATTCTACCATCAGACATAATGGTGACAATGTGATGGTCTGGGTTTGCTGTGCTGCTGTGGGATCTGAACAATTTGCCATAATGAATCAAACAATAAATTCTGCTCTGCATCTCATGTGTATCTGATTTATAGTATGAACAATGAATCAGAGCAACACCAGCAGGCTTCCCTCCAAATGGTTCAAACAAATCCAGCTCAAAGTTTTGGAATGGCCTAGTCAAACTATGATCTTCAGATTCTTCAGATTGGGATGCTGTGACATGTCAAATGTAGCTGAATCCACTGTTTTCTTTACAAACTCTGATTATTTTAGCATTTTGTTTGATAATCTGGAACATTTAAGCTTGACAGAAGCAAAAGAACAGACAAAATCTGCAATGGGGGCAAAGACTTTCTCATGGCTCTGTCACTGTGGGACTTTTCTTAACACCATCTGGTCTGCATCATATACTCACATTTACATCAGCAGAATTTTCTTCGTTCATGTCAGCATACAGAGCTGAAAGATGAAGCCATACAGAAGCCGTTAAACTTCAAAAAGGAACTCCAGCAAGCACACATGTTACTCAGTTTTTTAATGACAGCATGTAAAGTCTGACATTTGTTTTTTTTTTGTATAACCTCAGGGAATTTCTACTGTGTGACCTTCTTCTTTTCCCCTTTTTACTACCATGTTCATCTCAGACCAAAGTCTGCGGTGTATAATCGCTTACCAGAAACAAAGCATCAACAGACAGTGTTTGGCTGGTTTGATTTACGACGTAGAGACAAAGTAAAAATGTAAAGTAGAGAAAGGTTGAAAGAGAAAACAAAATAGCTTGAAGACGCTGTGGAAAGGGAGAAAGTAACAGCTTAAGAATGTAAAAAATTCTAAAAGCTATTCAAAAACCTGAATGTATTTTCTCTTCCAATTTGTGACATCAGGAAGTAGAGGGTCTATGGCACAGTAGTGATATACAGCAGTGGTATCTATTGTTTAGATAACACAAGAACAAATGCACAATGAAAGGATGAAAGAGACTAGGGCAATACACCAGATAAAATGTCTGCATTTCTCTTCTATTAGTCATCCAGTCATTACTGTGGCTTTTGGTCTGTTTGTTCGTCACTGTATGAAACATCTCCCCTAAAAATATGTACTGAAACGAATTATGAGACTTTTCCTCCAGCGCCTCCTGCAGGCCAGATTTGATCTCATCTAGTGCAGTACATTTACATCCATATTAAAATATTGACGCCCCAAACTCACTGGCACAAATTCACAATTAATTTAAATATAGCATTTTTTAAAGCATTTTCATCATATTATGCCAATAAGAGTGTTGAGAAACTTAATCCATTAGCTATGGGAAGCAGAAAAAAAGAAAATCTAAAACTCACTTACGTTAAATGATTTGTATTAAACTTTACCAGGATGCAAACTAGTGTAGAAGGTACCAACTTTTAATGATCCAACATAAATCTATTTATCTATTTGTTAAAATTGTCAATTTGTCCAAATTTCAGTTCATGATCAAGAAGAAAATCTCACTGTGCTCAGTTAAAACCAACATGGTAGCTTCACCATGGAGGCCTGAACTGTTAAGTATAAAACTTTTAATAATTTTTCAAAACATAAAAATGTGGACTTAGCTCTTTCAAATGATGATGTAACAAATATAAAAAAAATATTTGAATAACTAAATTATCTATTTAAAGAAAATTTTGTTGTGACAAACGGTTTGAATTTTATATAAACTACCAAAATCAAGTCACATTTTTCTCTTTTGAGAAACTTTTGCAGTACTTCATCTTCCCATTAGATGGCAGTCTGTTCCTGTCAACAATCAGGTGAAAATATTGACCCCTAACTCCTCTCACCATCCTCCACTGACATTTGCATTCCTAATTTCTTAATATTTTAATTTCAAACACCCAGTTTTTATGGTACTCTTTTCACAACTAAAAAAGTAGGGGAAAGTGTTAGTTGTTGGTAACAAATACCTAAGGATCAAATTCACCAATGTGTGTAAAAATTTTTGTTTTTCCACTAAAATGAGAGGAAGAGTCAACACAGCTCAGTGTTTGAGAAAGTCCCAAAATAATACTGGTTAAAACCACTTTAAATATTACAAGAATGTCAATTTGGAAGCAAGTAAATCAAGAGAAATTTCAGTGTTTTTTCATAGAAACAATTAGAGAGTTTTTACCGGTGTCTGCAGGATCATCCACAAGTTCTTCCTTCTCTGTTATGGTTTCCACCCGCTCCCTTCTGAGCGCTTTGATCTGCAGAATGAAAAGTAATGGTGGAAGAAAAAATATGCAGTAAACGAACCAAACAGAATCTGTGCTTGTGTTTTTCACTTTTTGAACTGATGCATTTTAGTTAGGTGCACTGACAGTATTGTGCGTTTCTCCATCTCAAGAATAGTGGAGGTTTATGAAAAGATAATAAATAAATGATAAAATGGACACATTAAAAATAGACAAGATGGATTTAAAAAAGAAATCAAGCTTCTGTGTATAAATAAACAAACAAATAGTCATTGGTATTGCACATTAAAATGATCTAACTGCAGTTCAAATGTTGCACATTGGTCATTTTTTGTGTTCCAGCAGCAATGAATAATTCCTGGTGCCATTTTGATTAAAATTTAATTAAATAATATTACAATATTGAATTTATTATATGAATATTCCAGATTGTGCAAACTTAAAGAAATAAAATATTACTCTTGCGTGTAAGAGCAGATTTTTTTTTTCACCATCAAGCACAAAAAAATCCTGACAATGAAAAGAATAGCTTTTTTTTCATTTTCAGATCCAGACTTGCTTAGCTGTTTGGTAACACAAATAAACCAATTAAAAGATAATTTGATATTTTTCTGGTATGATTGACAACAATTTTTTTATTAAGCTTTTTAAACACAATTTAATTTATCAAAAAATTAAAAAAATGTGAATAGGCTTCCTCTTAGTGGCAAAAGTGCGGGGGTTTTTGGGCCTTACTAATCCTTACCTCCCTGAGGAAGTTCTCATCTCTGAGCCTGTTTCTGAGCAGGAGGATGTCAGCGGACCGACTCTCCACTGAACTCCATCTCAGGTTTTGTCGAACGGACAGAGTCAGGTTCCCAGTGTCGTGGCAAAACCGCAGCAAGCGGGACCGATCTGCCCACACTTGCGTCAGACCTGCTGGAGGAGTGGCGAGGGGGTTGGGTGGGCTGCAACGGGTCAAGATGATAAAATTTTTCAAAAAAGTAAATCAAGAGAAATTATACTGTTAAAAATAATTGACATCATATAGAAAAATGTTATAGATAATAGTTAAACACATAAATTATGGGATGATCTAATTCAATCTTAGATATCAGCTCAGTTTCCCAAATTGGTGCTTTTGGAAATGAGTCTGTCAAACTCCTGATCGCTCTTGTTGCCTCACAGAGTTTGATGAATTAAAACATGTAAATCAAATGGCTTTATTAAAAAATTAAATGTCCCAAATCCACACTTATTCATGTGCTTATTTATGACTCGCATCACTGTTGTATAAACTATGTTTATTTTTCATAAAATATATGGGATTTTCGGTGAGAACTGTCTGGGATTTTTCAGATCCAACCCCAGAAATCTGCAAAGCTGGAAGAAAAAATTCAGCTTTCATTCATAAACATACCAGTATCACATGTTCTGTAATACTGTAAGTAGGCCTGCACACATTATTTTGTTCATTTAAAGATTCTGAGACTGACAAAAAAAAAAATAAATAAATAAAATAGATCTTTGCCTTGTAGAAGGTAAAAGGGTGGTCAAAAATTCCCATAGACACAACCTAAATCTTATGGAAAGCTTTTATAGCACTTATATAAATAAAAAAATATATATGTAAAAGGTGGGATGTTACAAATGACCAAATAAAGCTCTGCATTCCAATTGAAAGCTCTTTTTTGAACATATTCTCTTTAGCAAAACATTTTTTCTTTTTGTCGTATCGTTTCGAAGAACTACCTAACTTGTAAAATCCTAACTTCTTACTTTGTGAGCAGCTCCAGGAGCTCTGTGTTGCCTGTGGTCTGTGCCAGCTGCAACGGTGTGACTCCCTCTTCGTTAGGGAGACTGACAGCCATCAAACCCCCCGGCTGGCAAAGCAGCAGCTCTGCAAGCCGATAAAATCCCCACCGTACAGCCAGGTGGAGGGGACACTCTCTGGGAATGCATTCTGGAGAAAAGAGAAACAGACACAACAGCATTGAAAAATGTATGTAGAAAAAGACACAAGCAAGAAAGAAAAGGAATAAGAAAATAATGAGGAGAGAAAAATGATTGGCTGTTACAGAATCTGAGGAGAAAGTAACACATGAATTGTACGTTTGTTTATAAAAACATGCATCCATTCTAGGTTATAATCAGCATAATCCAATTTAGGGCTATAAAAACTGAACACTAAGTGAGGACAGATTATCTCTTTAGCCGATGAGCGTCATTTTCTAAATCTAATCAGCTGAAACAAACTGCTAATACTGAGCATGTGCAGTTTCATTTAGCTTCTTTGGTGCTCTAAATTATCCCAAAATATTTCATTCCTAAAAATTATTTCCATTTGTAGCATTGCTTAAAATCCCAGCTATTCAGACACCGGTCATGACATTGCCATTACGGGAGCAAGTGATCAAAAGAGGAACTTTGTAAAAAGTTAAGCCTCACAGGGAATGCTTTGATTTGTTACACATGCGGACTAGTGATGCGGTTAAATGATTACATTTATAAAAAGGTCAGACGATGCAAGAAGTGGGACCAAATCATTGTTTTACAAGTCACTAGTAAGTCTTAAGTCTTCCCTCCCGAGTACAGTCCCAGGTAAAGACATGTAGTCAAGGCACCTGCATCAAAAACAAGTTGTGAATTTTGAATCTTAAACTGTATATTTAAAAAAAAAAATTAAAATAATATATGTAAAATATTAAATTTAATAACAATATAATAATTAATATTTTAAAATTATTTAAATCAATAATAATCTATTCATAAATCCTGATTCATTTATAACTAATACATACATTGTAACTAATAAACATCAACATAAAAATGTGTGTGGATGTTTTTTGTTCTAAATGTAAAACCAAATAAACAAAACAGCTATTTAATTTAAAGAATGGGAAAACTGACCCACATAAAATACACATTTTTTCACACTAAACTATCTCGATTTGACCTAATTCAACAGCACAAGTCTGTGTCTGAAATCTTTCAAAAGTAACATCAGGTCATGAAAATAACAAAATTTCTTATGCTGTATTATGTTTTATTGTGTAAAGCACTTTCAACTGCCTTGTTGATGAAGTGCGATATACAAATAAACTTGAAAAACAAAGACTTAATCCCAGTAATTTATAAAATGTAGACAATACAGTAACATCATGAGTACTGCTATCCACCTCACTGCAGACATCCAGAGGGAGACATTGCAATGAAACAGGCTGCCATAACAATATTAACCAGTAAAATTATGTAGGTGGCCTTACACAAGCTCTCCGATCACACAAACAGTTGGTGGCAGCTGGTAAGCAACGGTTGGCACCAACGTACAGCAACCTTGCATACACACACTCACTCACCTTCAAATTTACTGAGCTGTGCCTGTGGTTACTTCCCAATGGAAAGGTTCTATTAACCCCATAACACACTGCTTAATTGGCTTTGATTTATCTGCCCAAAGCACACATGTGACTATGTTCACCTCCGATTTCAACCCTTTGAGCTCAGAAAATAGGAATAATAGCAGCAGGGAGTAAATTGGAGGAAAGAAGGGTTGAAGAGTTCACTCTTACTGCAGGTCTCTCTGCAGAACATTTTAAACAAATCATGATGAATTCAATTCAAATTTAACGTTCCAAAAACGTTATTCACTTGAATTTTATATTTGTGATGAATTCTGCGTTAGATAATCCATAAACAATGTCAAGATTTGCATACACTCTATACTATGACATAAAAGAGGTGTGCAGTCCTGCTTTTACCATCTCCATGGTGGCTGCCCAGTACATTCCAATTTGGAGGAATGTCCAGGTTGGCCATGGCGAGGGCCACTTTGCGATCCATAGCCCTCCGAGAGCTCTCCTGGCGCAGGCTGAAGAGGCTGCTCAGTTCCTTGTGATCCGTGACATTCAGACAATGTCCGTGAATTATGATATGCTCTGCCAAGTCCTGTGAATAATCAATCGTCAAGGAGGATAAAATTAGCACATGAAAGGAGAAAACTCAAGCAAACCTTTTTTATCTTGTTTGGATGCCTTAAAAAAAAAATACTCGCGTGATACTTGCCAATCTGCAGTCAAATATTTTTGGATATGCCTAAGCTCAGCCATGTGAGAAAAAGTAGAAAACCCTTAAAAGCCTTTGTGTTTTTCTAAGACAACATTTCAAATACAATAACTGAAGTAAAGGCCTTTTTTTTATTAAAATAAAATGTTATGGAAAATGTCTAATGAGGAATAAATAAGGACATTCCATTATTTATTCTGACATAAAATTTATACAATTACACAGAAGCGAATCAGATCAGGTACACATGATTGAATATTATTACAGGATTTTAAAGATCCTTTGCTGTTTAAAGTTCATAAATTTTGTCAGGAAAACTGTTGATTTGCCGTCATGACAAGCTCTACTGCCGGGAAGAAGCTGTTCCACGGCAGAAACCAAGGGGGAGAGCGTAAGCAGAGCATACACAAGCTTGATTAACAGCCTCTTTCTGGCTTTGACTGGTTGTTTCTTGCACATGGCACTGGAAGCATTGGGAGAAGGCAAAGAAGAGAGATATTTTTTCACAGATTATCTGTCTCATACCATATTGTCACAATGTAGAGACAGTTTTAACAAGTATGTAAAAACATTTTTTATAGAAAAGCTACATATTGCAACTTTTAAGAAACAATATTTAGGAAAAACTAGATCTTATCTGGTGATGTTCATAAGAACATGCATTATTCTTTTAAAATAAAATTTTAATGTTCTTATTCTTTTAAAACATATATTTTAAAAGAATAATGCAACACTTCAGGTGACATAAATAAAATCCATTTACCTGAGCATCATCATGTACGTACTCTAAGGAAGCCCCTCCCAACCAGGTGAGCTGAATGGATTCAGAGCATAGATAGGCTTGCACAGACACCTCCTCTGGCAGATTGTGTCCTAAAGAAGCAATAAGACTAACTTTAGACTGACTTATTTAAGTCTGATCAAAAATGTATTTTATTTTCCTATGTGACATGAGGCATTGGAAATATAGAGAAGGAAGCTCATTCCTTTTGCAGGTGTGCTCTAGAAATGTACCGATGTTTTCCACAGGGCAGGTAAGATGAATCAACTGTTCCCCCTATTTTTTGTTTCAAGAAAACAAATAGAATGAAACTTTCATGTCAAAAAAGACATGCAAACACAGAATGCATACCTGGCACAATAAAGTAGAGCATGACATCGTTTTGAGCCCGGGTTACATGGACCAGTGTGGATCCCTCCAGAACAACATAGACTTCAGCATCTTCTGGCACTGTGTCTAACCCCTCCAGCAATGTAAATACTTTGGCTTCGCCCTGAGATAAAGAAAGGTGATAATAGTTGAGAGAAAAATAAAGAAGAAAGATGATAAACAGACAAAAACTGATCTTCTCGCAGAGCATGCAGGCTCATTTTAAGCTCTGACTTCTGTAGGATTCTACAGATTTATAAAGTACACCAAATCCCCCAACAGCAGTCCTTGAGGGTACAATAAAGAATCCCCCCTCAATAAAAAAAGGAATGCCTCATGTGTCTGATGTAAAGACCTGCCCTGATCCCAATAGGCAAGAATAATTCTAACTTCTCATGTGAAGCAGCACAAAAAAGTACACAACTTTTCATTTTTCATACTCGTACATCCCAATGTAATTTCAGGCACCTGATAAAGTTTCTGCCTGCTTTAAATGTCAAAGTCCATGTAACTTCCAGTAACGATCTATCATTTAACTGATCATTTAACTGATCATTTAACTCAGACATGTCCAAAGTCCGGCCCGGGGGCCAAATGCGGCCCGTGGTCAATTTTCATCCGGCCCGCAGCCTCCGTCATAGAATCAATAACGCCTGGCCCGCGTGTAATACATTACTTGCGTGTTCTAAGTGCTGACATCTAGAGGCTCAAATAGGAACAGCATATTAGTATGTGAGGCCCCCCAATTTTCTAAAATGGCGGCAATTAGCAAAAGGAGGAAAGTTGACAGCGAGGGCCGACGGTTCAAGGATGGGTGGAAATTGGACTATTTCTTCATTGAAATACGTAACAACTGTGTTTGCCTCATTTGTAAAGAGACAGTGGCTGTTTTTAAAGAGTTCAATGTGAAGCGACATTATCAAACTAAACATGCTGAGGCACATGACAAGATCACAGGTAATGAACGCAGCGAGAAACTGAAACACCTTGAAGCTAGCTTAATCTCCCCGCAGCAATATTTTACAAAAGCTCGAGAGTCAAACGAGAATGCTACAAAGGCTAGTTACGAGGTAGCAGCGCTGATCGCAAAGCATTGCAAACCTTTCACCGTTTCACTAGTGCGCAGCGTCCTGTCCCCGCGTCGCCAAGCCAGAGAGAGGTGTGCTAATCAACATTTATAGTTACTGTCATATTTTAAATGAGCCCTGCACTTGTTGATATGACAATTTCTCTGTTATTGTGTTTAAAAATTCTGTAAATATTAAACTCCCATTTTGAGATTTTTTTTATGTTTCAAATGTAATTTGCACCCAAGAGTACAATTACTTCTCTTCAACTGTTACAAAAAAGTTAGTGTTAAAAAAGTGAAGTTAAATGAATATTTAATTTCAATTTTCAATGTCAATTGAATTTTGATATGTATGTTTCAAATGAACCAAAACATATGCTTAAGATGGCTGAAATTAAAATAAAAAAGCAAATGTGAAACACACAACAGCTCGCTGAAATGTATTTAAATTAATTGCTGTTATATGTAAAGAACGTCCGCCAAGGTTGGCCCCCTATATTTTTAACACACCAAATCTGGCCCCCTTTGCAAAAAGTTTGGACACCCCTGATTTAACTGATCATTTGTTCAGTTAAATGCAAATGATCTGTCCCCAATCTCTTTCTTAGGAATGAAGAGGCCACTGAAATATAATAAATTCATTTTTATGTTCAAGAAAATAGTCTGTGATTGTTCTGATATGGTGAATTAGTTATCAGAAGATAACTAACGTTCTGATAGTCACAACTGATTGTGATACATTTGTGCCTGTAATACAATTACAACTAGAACTCTTGGCATAAAGCAGAATCAATGCATTCATCCTGTTTAAGCTCAATTGTGGCCATACAATGTGAATGCTAAAGAACATACATCCTAAGGAAAAATATTTTCCTATTCTCATCTGACATCAATAAGGTATTTTCTTCATACAACTGCCAAGCATTGGATATTTTCTCTTTTTCTGATCATTGACTGTGAATCTAGGAGATGGTTCTGAAAATCCCAGATCAACAAACATATCGTGTTCAGTCATTTTAATCCCTTTTTTCCCATCCTGATGCTCAATTTGAGCTTCTGCAAGACGTCTTCACGACTGTCCAAATGCATTAAGTTGCTGTCATGTCAGTGGCTGACTCTAAATTTGTTTCAACAAGCAATTAAACAGATGACCATAATTAAATGAGTATACTATAATTAAATGAGATACTATAGTATCAAAGTATTTCAGGGCCTTTAGCCATTTTACAGATTTGCCACATTCTAAAAGTCATAAAGAAACAGAAATCAATTTGTCCACCTCAAGTGTCTGAAATAGAGCAGAGTATTGAGGCCACAAGACGAGCCGTGTGGGTTATTCTTGGAAACATATCAAACAACTAACTCAGGCTGGAGCCAAAGAAACAAGCTGAAGGAAAAGGACTCGACCAATATGTTGAATATAAATGATCATTGATTTGAGGAGATTTGTATGCTCATTTTCTCATTTAGATTATATTAGCCTTGCTCAACAGATGACCTAATTTTATAATGGAATTAACTGAGAAGTTTTTCAATCTCAGAGACTGGGTAATTATGTCTCTGTTTCTCTCCACCTCCTTGACCTGATTGCAAAAGGTTGTGGAAGGACAGTTGAAGAAATCACAATAAAATTTGAAAAACAAAGACAAGCTCAATACAAATTTAATCACATTTACAAGCAACTGTTTGTAATGGTCTGCAAATATTTAAAATGTTTACAATGTATTCAATGTTGACATCCTTAATATATTAGAAACTACAACCACATTGTGTAATTATATACAGTCATGTCATGGAGAACAAATTAAATGTGCAAAACATTTCACACAATTTGAAGTTCAAAGAAGGAAGGAGCTATGGGATATCCATTGTAAAAGGATATAATTGTTATACTTTTAAAACAAAGATAAAATGAATAATAAAAAAAATAATAAAATTTGCCATTCTTTAATAAATTCATATCAACCACTTAAATGTTTTCAGATAATTTCACATAATAGGCATCTTTTCCAAACAAAAAAGACAACTTTACCAGTGTCTCACACAGAGAAAAGACATAAGTAAAAGAAAAAATTATCTTATCTGACAAATTAAATATAATAAAAACTAAAGTCTGAGTGCTGTGATGTCACTCCACCCTTCTGTTCATTACACCACTGGTGAAAATGTAATGACATTAAAGCTGAGTACTTTAGTCCTGGATTTGAAGTGCCTATTTTTTCAGATAAGAGTTTAAAAGCTAAAATGTTATGTATAGATTGGAAGCATTGTAAAAAGAACAAAAAAAAACCCAGCTAATTCTCCTAAGCTGATGAGAAAATGAAGGAGTAAACATTTTCAGCAAAATGTTGCTTTCAGAGCACTTTTTGAATGAACATTCAACGTTTCTAAAGTTGGTGAAAAGTTCCTGCCTTCTGCAAGATAAATCCAAAACGGCTGTTCAAATTCACAATTTCTCAACATACTAAACACTGCTTTTTATGTTTTCTTTTTCACAAGGCTCTCAATAGTTGCATCTTAGCACAGTGATTTTGGTATTTTTCATTACTAGTGGAAAACACTGGATAACTTAGTGTTTACTTATATTCCTGCTGAGAGCAAAGGTTGAAATAAACGTCTTCAGATCAGAGGTCTCTGACTTCCCAAAATGGTCAATCTTTCTTTCCATTAATGTTTAATATTCCCTAGGTAACCTTTAATCAAACTAAAAAAAAAAACATTATATTGAAAACATGTCAGCTTTATTTAAACTGAAAACAGTGTGAGGAAAGGATTTCCTGTCTGATCTTCAAGGAGCCTTCAGCATTCCTGAACACTAAGTAAACGCTTAGTGTTTACTTATATTGTCAAGATGCCCAACCTAAAAGCACTAAAGTGTATTTGACTACACTGTTTGACTTATGTTGCATCACATATGACAGAACCTTTGAAATGTTCACCACTTGAAGCTCCACAAACTAATTGCAGAGCAAACACACAAATTATTCTTTTATTTTTAATTATAGGGTTACTCATTTGCCAGCAATATAAACATGTGTCAGGCCACCATTGTTACTATCAAACTGATGGATTAGACTGTTTTACGTTTTGTATTTTGAAGTTTTGATTTAGTGTTGAAATAATCCAATAACCGATCACAGAAATGATAAATTCAAAGAGCGATTTAAGAACATCAATGAGTATGCATCAGTCACTCTCATGCTGGGGTCACTGAGGTCTTACTGGGATTTTAAAAAAACATTGTGTAACTATATGGAGCAATGGAATTGCATATTTTTACTAATGGAGGGACAACACAAAGAAATGCTGCATCTTGATTAGACATACATTCCTCGTAAAAGTATTAACCTGCTTTAACATCTCAGCAGGTTAAAATCACAAAAATGTTTTTTTTTGTTGTTGTTGTTTTTGATAAATTAACACAAAGTAGGGGATAATCATTAAATGGAAAGAAATTGACGTATCAAAGTCTGAAAAGAGTGTCCTGTCTTGGTATTCAGCTCCATTTACATTGATAAACATAAATACAAACAATGGCCTTCACTCATTACACATGACTAAACATGGCCCATCTGTGCATAATTCAAACTGAGTACACAAACTAATTGTGTACTCAGTTCACAATTACTGTGTACTGAGTACACAATTGAGTGATGTTTAATGTTCCCTTTAAACATCACTCAATGTTTTAAGGGAACATTGAGTGAATAAACAGCATCATTAAGAACAGGGATCAAAAACAATATTCCATCCCTTTCATGCCTTATGGAAGACTGCTAAATCTATTCTCATGGAATGATTATTGCACAGCTGCAAATCTTGCAACACATGGCCGTCTACCTAAACCGACAGTCCAGGCAAGGAGAGCATTATTCAGAGAAGAAGCACAAGGTAATTCTGGAAGATCTTTGGATATTTGTATCTCATGTGAGCAGCAAACCTGTCAAATTCAGAGCTTGTGTGTGCTCTGGAATCAGAGCACACACAAGCTCTGATTCCAATGATAAATCTGAATTCAGATTTATCTTTTTTTTGGTTTAACAAAGCCAAGCACCCCACACATCTGGTGTCCATGAAAGAGTGGGAAAATAAATGCCACAAACACTAGAACCCCAGTTTGAATTAGTTACAAGCCACAGGTAACATTTAGAAAAAGATTATCTGGTCAGATGAGACATCTAATAAACATTTTACCCTTAATGAAAAACATGTTGTGGAAAACTAAAATTACAAATCAATCTGATCAGAGTGACATGGAGATGTCACTGGCTGATTAGAAGATTGATGGAGCAAAATACAAGAAAATCAGGGAAATAACTTGACAGACATTGCACAAGACTTGAGGCTTAATTTGCAAATATATAACTAAAGAATTAAAGTCCAGACCCAAATTCAAATGAGGATCTGACGCAAACCTTGAAAATTGATGTACACATCTGCTCTCCATCTAATCTGGCTTAGATTGAGCTGTTTGCAAAGGTAAAACATTTAAATTATAGAAACAGGAAAGAGACTATCCCAAAAGACTTGAAGACTTTTGGAATGTTTCTTTGATGAGGTGGAGGTGAACAGATAGACACCACACATTTCTTTAGTTTTTCTTGCAAATTAAAGGAATATGAATACATTTACAAGACAGAAAGAAAGGTAACTTAGATTTTCTAATTAATGAGGGCACTCATTTTTCAGTGCCATCCAAACTCATTCTGCAGATTTTCCGCAGGCAGTCCAACTTACTCTTGAGATTAACTGAAGAAGCTTATATTGAACTCGACAGCACATATACTCACATAGAGAGGCACCTTCCTCCTGCTCAGCTCCATGTATACAGCAGCTGCAAGGTGAAAAAAATATTGACACAAAATGAGAAAATGGGGGAAACGCACAGAGAAGCATGTGACTCCTAATTATTTCCTTGCTTATTTTGGTTTTCCATCTGATCTTGAGGATTATCAAAGCATTTAGAGAGGTCATTTGAAGAGACAGCATCAGCTTTTGATCACAAGAAGGTGAATAATGATTTTAATGATGGACCTTCCTGCCATAGTGCGTGTAAAGAGAGAACACCAGAATGTCCATGAATCTGATACACACCGCAGTTCAATAATGCGCGTGCCTGGCTTTGTGCATGAGCAGGAAACCGATTACATTTCAATGCTCCAGGGTTCAGATCTGCTCTGTGTCAGCGGCCACTTCCTAAATGAGACCCAGCAGCGAGATCTTAACAAACTGCCACGGTCATTGTTCATAATGACACGGCTTCCTGTACGCTTTTAGTCTTCTGCAATCACACACTTAGAAACAGGCTGCAAGATCTCTGAGGAGGAAAAGTGTGAAAATAGCTGTTTATGACACCAAAAGTCCTGCATAATTGAAAAAAAATTAAACATGCTTTAACATTAAAACATTAAATGGATGTGATTTCTTTCATAAAGACTTAAATGAATAATTTTGTGCTCATTTAGTTTATTGATGTAGATACCAACCACACTTCTATAATAATTATTTTTAAAAAAAGACTACCACAACACCACTTACCTTGGATCTTACACTCCAGCAAATATGTCCTCAGAGTAAGTTATAATTCCTTTAGGACAAGCTCTGAATTCAGATTTATCATTTTTTTCGTTTAACAAAGGGATCAGCTCGGGGCCGCTGCTGTCTGCACTGTTTCAGCCTCCTCTCTGGTACAGCACTGATGCTTGTCTTCAGCCAAAATCCCTCCTAACGTGATAAAGTTACCCTATTGCCTTAAAGCTATAGCGACCTCAAGCGGAAGATCATATGACTGACAAATTCTGTTCTCAGTGGAAAGTTACAGTTCTTTGCACCTTCTGGTATGAAGTGTTCATTGCACCTTAACCTCACTTGAAAAGTCCAAGTGCATACAAGTAGGATACTTGATTTTTATTTTACTTTTTTCAGTTTTGTTCATCAGACTTTATTGTATTTCGCTGAGATTTTATGAGACATTCCAACATAAAAATCACAACAAAAATAAATAAAGCAAAAATAAAATTTTATACATTTTTGTTTAGACATCATGAGTCAATATTTAAACCATCTTAAGTCGTTTTGTAGCCTCTTTAAGGTTTTCTTCAAAATTTGACCTGTACTTCCATCTTCTAGTCAGCTTTGAGCAGCTTCTCTGCAAATAACAAAGAAGCTCCCCATCTACCGAGCATGATGCTGCCTCCACCTGGTGGACGGTTTGCTATGTGATCTCGAGTTACTTGTCTGCCATATAGTGTTTTGCACACAGACTTTGATCTCATCTGATCAGAACACCACTTTCTTCCACATGTTTGATGTTTTCCCTGCATGACAGGTCATGCAAGTTCACTATGTTAGTTTCACCATGCTACCACTCGCACTAATGCATAAACTAGTATGACAATGTCCCTTTGTACTATGCTTTGCTTCCTATGAAAAGTAAAAACTTGTGGCTACTGAGAAACCATTGCCTCCTGAAGGCATGGTCTCTGTTTTTCAAGTTTTAAATTTGACCCAGTTGCTAACATAGGTAATGCCAGATCAACACAAGAACCGGGAATTGCCTTCGCTGTAAACAATTATCCACCACTGTAAAGAGAGAAATCCCAAGCCGAAGGAGGAAGATGTTAATACTAATTAAATTTTTGGAAGAATGAACAGCTTTTGTTCATTTCCACCGCTGCCATTGTTAAACTACAGGCAGACCACAATTGTAAAACATTCCATGGAAAAATGGAAGCTGAACTTCTGGTGTTAAACGCATTATATCTGCTATATATGACACTCATTTTCCTCCCATTTCACAATTACTCTACCTTGTCTTAGGCACCTTCACAACATATAGAAAATTCAAGGAGTTTGAATATTTTTGAAATTGTACCATAAAAAGTTGACTAGTCTCAAATTTTATTTTCAACTCAAATAAAGCCAGTAACACATGAAAAAACCTTTATTTCTTTTCTGCTTATATGAGTGTCGGATATTATGAAAGTACTTCATACACACACTGACGTTTACAATTGATGCTTATTGCAATTATTCAAATTACATCAAATATGACTTATTTAGATTCACACATTCAGAAAGTCTCCACGTAGAAAATGTTTTCATTTGGTTCCCATGTACAAACAACATGGGTTAGAATGACACTGGATAAGATGGAGGGATGGAGGCCTGCTCTGCTGCGATTGGTTGATATACCAGTAGCATCTAAACAAAGGGCAAAAAACTAATCTCTTCGGAGAAAAATATCCTGTTTTTTGACCCTACGCCTTATTCTAGAAGATATAACCAGTCGACTTAAACATATTAGATGTATAATACAAATAAAGTTAGAACCAGTCAAACTGACTGATCAACCTGCAACGACTGCTCTGGATATTCCATTTTTAGGTTATTTTTTGCAAATTAGGCTTTTGCCCAAAATCTGGGTAAGAATTACTACTTTTAGTTGAAATTTTACAGCTGGATTGAGTAACAATTCCTATGCCCAACTTGGTGTTGAGCATAAAAAGTAGAGAAATCTCTTTGAACTTTGTGCTATCTCCAGCATACAGACTTTAATATTCCAATTTAATTCGAGGTGAGAAAGAGATGTCAATTCAGTCGAGAGACCTTTGTTTAATGATAAAATACTACAATATAACAAATTACAGCGAATGAATTCCCACAGCAGACCTCACTTCCACCAGAAGGCAAAATGTAGGACTCAACACAGATCCAATTAAAAAATGTTTGTTTGGTGTTGTTTATACACAGAAAATGATTCTGATGCCTTCAATCGAGATTTTATAAAAATCATCCTAATCCAGACTAAAATCAATTCTTCCTCTCATTTGATCTCAGGTGACCTGAAGCTCTGGTCTCGATCTGCTCGCCTCTCCCTGAGCCAGCCCGTTGGATCTTCCCACGTCGGAGTACGGCACCTCCTTACGAGCGATGGAGGTGGCAAACATGGTGTCCAACATTCCCAGGACCTCCAGTAGCTCCCGCTCCAAGTTGATCTCTGACTCCAGGATGTTCTGTAGGCGCAGCAGCTGCTGGTCGATCAGTGCCGACTGACCAATCACCGATTTATAGATATCAAGGATCATTTCAGCTGCCGTCAAAAGGACGGGCGCAAACCTGGTGTCGACAATGTTTCTGAAGAAGAAACAGAAACAAATGATCAAGGTTTAAACTTTAATTTGATAAATCTGTACATTATAACACCCTGATTTTATTTCACAACTTTATTGATTTGAACCCAAAAAGTAAGATGTCTTCTGCTTCATACCCAATGACAAAGTGGAGTAACTGAGAGAGTTTCTTTTCATCTCTTCCTGCTAACGCGTTCTTCAGAGTTCCTCTTCGATCCAGCTCTTTGATTACACCCACAGTTATCTCTGGCTTTTTCTTTCTTAACCATATCTATCAGAAAAGAAGATTGAAGAAACAACTTTGCTTAAAACAGCCTACTAAGCCATTATTTGCTATTTGGGGCCCTCAATTATCAAATGTGGGAAATAAATCAGTAATTGTGGGAAAGTAAACATGATAAAATAAAAACAAACATTTATTACTTAAATGCTTGTGAATATTTAGATTACTCTTACCTCCAAGGATGCATCCAAAGCTTTGGATACATTAAATTTCTTGAGCTCCCTGTCATATTTGGCCAAATGTTCTTTGACTGGCTTACTGACAAGATAGTCATCCTGTAAATGCACAAAGCAAGGAAATTAGAAATAAAAAAAAAGTTGAGTTATAATTCTTACAGAAAAAGATGAGTGAAAGATGACTGGAACATAGAAACCTACTGGTTTTGGGACATAATTTTTTCCTTTCACAAAGACACGATATGACGGGCGGCGGCTACGCTGGCTCATTATTTCCTTTGACTCTTCAGTGTGTTTTCTGTGTTTGATGCTTAAAATACTGTTGGTCATTCCCACAACAATGGACTCGTCATCCGGCTGAGAAGAAAAAAAAGTTTTCAACTTTGGCTCAAGATGAGTGCAAAACAATACCCCTTGTTTGCAATGCAACATAAAATAAAATCTTTCATGTTGTTTTCAAAGTGCAAACAGGGAAACTTGTATAATTCCTGTTTTATCTACGCTGTCAACATGTCAATTATCTAAAGAAATGTTTTCACTGAATATTGCTGGAACATTTATTCTTACAGCCACAGCCAAACTGAGGATTGCAGCAGCGTAGTCAAAGTTGTGGACCACTTTGTACGTGGTTGTGTTGTAGACTTTCACATGCCTGAAAGACAAATGGTCCACGCGTCAAAATATTTTTCATTCATTCGCCTTTTATTTACAGAAGGTGGCAACAACAAGAGGACTTCCACAATTCTCATAACACTGTATTTGCAACCTTTGCCAGACAGAAAAGTGCCAGATTTAAAAAATTAAACATTTATTTTATGTCAGGAATTCCCTATATCTGAAGTTCTTATACCTGTCCAGAGATCCCGACAGCAGTCTCTCTCCGTTCTTGCCGAGAGCCAAACAGGTGACGGTTTTATGATGGTTTTTCAGCGACACCAGAGGCTGACCTCCTTTTAGCAAATCCCACATTTTGACGTAGCGCCCACCTAAAGAAAGAGAACCAAAATTTGTGAATTAAGGATGTATTTCAAATATTTCCAAATAAACATAAAAAATAACCCATGCACATATACTACGTAAATGTAGAGTAAAAATAAATTGGGATGGTTCATAGAAATCTGAACAAATCTAACATGTTTATGTGACATACCAGCCTCATAAAGCCTTTCATCAAAACTATATAATGCTCTGATGAGCTTAACACAGATGAAATGTGGCAAATTGTTGTAGGACGCATTCTCACCTCATCAATTTGTGCCCGACACATAATTGTTCAGTGTAAAGTTGTCCATAAAGTACACTGGTCCAAAAGCAAACTGGTTCGAATCTTTCCGGACATGGATTCGAAATGTGAAGTGTGGTTTGGACCCAGCCACTCAGCCATATGTTTTGGACCTGTTCCTGTTTTTGACTCACTTTCTGTAATCAACTCGACCACAGTACAACTTTCTCCACTCGCTGTTTTATTTCATTAAGCATGTGCAAATATGGGTGATCTGGATTATTAAAAAGTGTATATTTTTATTCAGAAAATATCTTGTGGTAATTTGTTTTTACATACACTTTAGAGGTTAAGTTCTGATCTCTGATGGAAAAGAAATTAACATAGTGACTGCCTTTTAAAAGCGAAGCTGTCTGGTCTTGTGCTATCACAAACACTAAAATCAGGCACAGTGACAGACCGAGGAAAACACAAAGCCAAAATGTTAGTGGACCCTATGAATCAGAGAGCAGTGTTTCTGCATTGGACCTTTGCTGACCGCTCGGTTCTGAAATGAATCTGAACTTTCAATTTGTTTTGTATAAATATGCTAAATGATTCGGCTGACAACCTGCTGAGACAAGGAGTCCCTCAGAGGGGTAGAGAAGGAGGCTCTCCACCGGCTGTCCATGATCCATGGTCATTGCACTCTTCTCTGCTCTGGCATCAAACACTTTCAGAGTGTGGTCATATGATCCTGAAGCAACAAAAAATGAGAAACAAATTAGATTTTTGTTGGTGCCAGTCAGCTGTAACAGGAGACATATAGACTCTATTTTATTATTTTATTTATGTTTTGAGTGAAGTTAGAAACTACCTATAAAGAACCGCAAACAGATGTTTATCAGACAAAAGGTTAACTTCCTCTTGACCCTTTGACATTTTCCCACTCCTCTGCAGAATGATCTTTTGACTAACCAGTAATGAAGAGATCTCTGTTGAGTTTGCTGGCAACACCACAGCGAATGTAGTCTGTGTGTTCCTGGTAGGTGCAGAGCTCGGCTGCGTTTGGGATGTCCCACAGTCGGCAGGTGTAGTCGTCAGATCCCGTGAGGATCTGATAACGTTCTGAGGTGAAGTCAGTGACATGTACGGCCCTGAGTAAAAAAAAAATAAATAATTTAAATTCAAATTAAATTAAATTCAAATTGTTTTCAGTATGCAGGATTTTAAGAATCTCAATGGCTGTCAGAATTCTTGGGATCAGCATGAATTTCAGTCGATGGATCACTCAAGAAATCATCATTCAACATTGTTGTCATCGGCCAATGACTTCCACCACATATTCATTCACCCAAAACTCTCCCATTTGAAAACATGGATCGCTGACAAAGGTCAGTTGATGTTGATGAATAAATAATACAAAGTTCCTATTAGGGATGAAGATGTCAAATTCAGCATGATATTGCTGTTTCTTTAACATCACAAAAAACAGTCAAAAAGAATAACCGATTAATCACAACAGTCATTATAATGTAATTTACAGTTATTTTAATATATTAACATAGCTTGCAGTTTCAAAACTGTGCTACAGTATCTTAAAAAAGATGATTGATTCTTCCTAAGTGTTGCCTATAAGTCTTACACAGCAGGAAATATTTTCAAAAAGCTTCTCTTTCCTGTGAAAAAGGAAAAAGTATTCAAGCTTTCTTTGGACTGGAGGACTGCCAATGCATAGCAACAGGTTTAGATGTAACCAGTCTAAGCCTAGTTTATTTTAGATCAATTAGAGCAACAGAACAATAAAGAAAGAGCTTAAAAAGTCACCACACAATTTCACCTTCATGAAAGATTTTCTTGCAAATTTCCTTTGCAAGAATTCACTAATATGTCAATGACCTAATGACAGAAACTTAAAATATGAGACTCACTTTGTGTGTCCTTTGAACATCCTTAGCGCCACCTTGCCGCTGACATCAAAAAGTCTGACAACCGAGTCTTCGCATCCCGCCACGAGCAGCTGGCCATCTGACCTGAATCTACCACAATAAGCAGTGTCCTTGAATCGGGTAAATGTCTTGACAGGCTCTTGAGAGAAGGGCCCATAGACGTGGATCTGAGGGGAAAAAAAGAGTTAGAACATGAAGAAACTGTGAAAACAAAGGTGCATCCTTTACTTATAGACAAATAAATCATTTCAAAACAGAACTGTTTATCAGATTGCTTTAGGGTTGCTGTTTAACTTCATAAATTTGAGAGCCTATACCAGTAGAAACTTAATTTTGATTATAAAATAGTAACTGTACAAAGTAAAGAATATGAAATGGGAACTTAGTGTTTCCTTCCTTTATGTTATTGTCTGTGTAAATAAGATGCATATCCTCTGGGAAAAAACAAAATCCAATATGAAAATCAACCATGTCATAAGGTGAACTACCTAGAATTTATGCAAACAGAGCCTACTCACTCTTGTAAAGGCAGTTACAGCAAAATTATGAGGAGCCACAGGAGAGAAGTCGATGTTTGAGACTGCTCCATATTCTTTTATCTGAACAGGAGCCTATGAGTGGGAGGAAGAGGAAACATATCAGGCAATGGATTCCTTCAAAGCTTGAGATCACAAATTGTTCAATATATTTTTTCATCCACAATAACATGAAATGGAGCCCATAGCAGGTGACTCACCTTGTAGTTTTTCCAGTAAAGTGTGTCCTGTGTGACTTTTTCTCCGAGCTTTGGATATACTGGGATTTTTGTGGGTTTAAATGAAGCCATCTATATGGCGCTTGTTGAAGCGTCTGCATACACCCAGTAGGAAACGACAGTTGAAGAGGAATCTTGGCATTTAAAGAGTTTACAGTTAAGAAATTACACTATTTCTTGTTTTTTGGGTTTTTTTACTTTTAAAATGAAAACAAAAATTACAGATAGCACCAAGTTGTTCATACTTCTTACTACATACTGCTGCTCCAGGGTTGTTCATACTACTCTACATATTATACGGGGAAATGAAGCAAAAATTGTTACGAATATGATTTTAATTTTGAAATTATATGTACATATTGCAAGAGAAAACAAATAATTCTAGAAGTAAACTATACACTTACTGAGCATTTTACACATTTCCAATTGTCTATTAACACAAATAGTAAATTAGCCAATGAAATTACTGAAACCCAATGCATTTGGGCATTTCGACATGACTTGCTGATGTTAAAAGTGCAGCCAACATATCCAAACGTTAATGTTAATATGAACCAAAATTTTAAAAGAATGATTTTGGTGCTTTGTTTAATCTGCACCATGGAACAACTTGAAGACAAAAGGGATCCAATCTGGTTTTTAAAAAGATTAACCTAACAAATAGGCTAATGAGTGTAAAGTATATGGCAAAATTAAGAACAGAAATTAAACTAAACAAAAACATGCTATCTGAGAGAAATTATAAAAACAGCATTTGACTTTTTTAATAATGTCATAGAAATAAATTAGGTATCTTTTCCGTTAGTGCACTAACTTCTACCTTAAAATATAATAAAACATATTTATGGACATTACACAAGTGAAATTGCCTAAACTAGTTGATTTCAGAGACAACGCACTGTAGTATTTCCCATGGGTTTCCTTGTATAAGTGAATGATTCGTTAGTCTTTTGATATAACATTCAGTGCTTAAGTTTTGATTGTACAAAAATATACTACACCCTTAAATCTAAAAGATTTACCGTCTTGACAGTTTTCAGTTTAGGCATTGAAGTATCACCCATGTTGTGTTATCTATGTTGTCTCATCTAACAAAATAAAACATGATGTCAGCGATGAGGCTCGGGCAACAGTCAATTAAATCTTTAGATCGTTCATAAACAAATAAAAACAGCACTTTGTGTTCTTTAAGCTGAAATAATGCACGTGATTATGCATGTCTCAAACCTGGCACACTGTCTGTTGTTTATACGACTAATATTTCACACAGAAATGGCTCGATGATGTTCTCACCTTTGATTAGAAAAATGGTCCCAGCGTGCAGATACGTTTCACCTACAATAGGGCTTATTTAAAAGTATACAATCTTTTGTTATCTAAAGTGAAGGAAAACTTTCTCATTTTACCGAAGAATCACGTTGCCTCTCGGCGAACAGGAGGACGCCATGTTTGAATGTAACTACTTCCGCAATGAAACAATGGAATATTGGAAATAAGCGTCTTTTTATATTGTTTTTTTAATTAGATTGTCTATAAGATGCTTGAATATTTTTTCGGATAAATAAAATATTAGTTTTTCTCTGTCCTTAATATTTTTTCATGTTCTTTTTATTCTTTAATTTACGTCACTTCCTGGGCTCCCTCCTTTCTGCCTCCATCGCTTATTGCGTGAGCCGCGTGTTTACACACTTCCAGGTATGTTCCTCGCTGTTATTCTGTTTTTTTAAATCATGACATATAATTTTAATGTAAGTGTAGCTTTTAAAAACTAATTCTGCCTCAGCTTGAGAAACCTAATGCGGGAAAAACACACTCCTTTCTACTGTAGGAACATCTGTTTGAGGAGGCCCTAGCTAGCTGTTTAGCTGGTTTTGCTAACTAACCAGTTCCGTTGAAGTAATTTAGACTGCACACAAAATTTACGACGAGGTATGTTAATAAAATAAATTGAAACCAGAAGGACTGGTTATACGGCATCACCCTAAGTCAAATGTTGTTTCATTGGCCTAATGTGAAAAAAGTTGTAACCCAGTACATTTGTGGTTAGCGTGTCCCATGCTAGAGCTGTAGTTGCCCACCTCCTGCATTACTTGCAGACAGGCTCTGAAGTGTGACGCTATTTTCGGGGCCGTATGACAGCTCTGCATTCTTGGTTTTCTGCGTGAAAGAGCAAAAATTGAAGGGAGATTTGAGGGGGATTTATTTCTAATACTTTCAGTTTGATTACATGTCTACCACTTCTTTCGAACTGCTAGATCACACATGTAATAAATAACACGTTAGGGGCAATTTCTGTTGATAGTGAAAGTTGGAAATGTACCATTTTTTCCCCTCCATAATATATGTCATTTAAAATTAAACGATTAGAATAGAACCAGAAGCAATTCTGATTCTGAGAAATAAATTAGCTAATATTCAAATTGTGAGCAAAAATATTTTAACTTCACCTAAACTAAGATTGGAATGAGATTCCTATGCTATGACTGTGTCATAGTATTTACAAATGAATTAATAATTTACTTTGCTCTTTTGATGCACATATGTAAGCAAGAATAAAATAAAAACCTAGAAAGTTTAGTGAGAAATTTCCCTTGCTTATTATGCATAATATTTGACATTTTTTCCATTATCTACACTTTTTTAGAGTCATCCATGTATAACAAGCTGGTATTGTCTGGGTAATTAGCCAAAACTAAGGTACAGGCCAATGAAACAACATTTGATTACTTAATAGCAATGTCTCTTCAGAATCAGAATAATCTTTGTTGTTCCCCAAGGAAAAATTTATTATCCTATAAAAGAAAATATAAATAAAATCATTTGTGGTATAAAATTTACAACACAAATATAAAATTACATTGTTAGATAAGACCTAAATATAAAATAAATTAAATAAAATGAAATAAAAATACAAATTATTGAAGTTTATCAGCTTTCATGTAATTGCTGTCCATGTTTTGTGGATGTTTGGAAATATTTCCGAACAGCCATTTTGTCTCGACTACAGCAAAAGATAAGCGTAGCAGAGTTGTGTTACTTTCTGTCTCATATAACTGGTGTTAGGAAGGTGTTAGTGATTCCTTTTACTCCAGCTTTTTACTTGACATTTCATTAGAGTTGTGCTAATAACTCCAGTAGAATTGTTGTTTAAATCTGAGCCTGTTCTCTTACATGTAAGATGAAGGAGTCGATAATGAATCAAGAGAAGCTTGCCAAGCTGCAGGAGCAGGTCCGCATAGGTGGTAAAGTAAGTTGCCTAAGTGCTGCCAAGTAATAGTTAGAATCTGAATCCTTTGCTAAAGCTAATTTCACTGCTTTGTAGGGGTCAGCCCGAAGAAAGAAGAAGGTGGTGCACAGGACGGCTACAGCAGATGATAAGAAGCTGCAGTTTTCACTGAAGAAACTAGGAGTCAACAACATCTCTGGTATTGAAGAGGTACGATAAATGTTTGAAAAGTAACACACAACTGACTTTATTTACAAGTAAAAATTGTCTTAATGTCTTTAAATTGCAACTAAAACTGAACTGAAATCCCAGGAGATGAGATGCTTTGCCCAAAGAGTTTTCCAGAGTGTAAAAGTAGGTACCAGCAGCAATGCTCTTTCCACTCAGGAATAAGAGAGAACGCATTTTTTAAAGAATTTTCATCTTAAAAGTAAGCTATTTATACGGTGCATATTCATGTTTTCAATATGATATGATATATTTAAAGAATATCATTACAAATAAGTTTCAAATTGATTTATTTTTTTAAGTAATCTGCTTTCAAAAATCCCATCTTTTTCTACTCAAAGGCGGGTTTGTGGCAAGTTACACCTACCTCCCAAAATATCAAAAACCGTTGGACATAATGGGCTGATTTTTTTTTCTGCTCTTTTCTGGTGATACACTAAGTAGAAAAATGCATTCAGAATACAAAAAATGAAAAGAAAAAAATTGACTGCCGGTACCTAGTGAAAGTCCTGATTTTTGACATTCGGTGGCCACATATCCTTTGCTGTAAAAGTTGCAATGAACTTTATGATTAGCCATTTAGTAAGAAAGTAGTTTTCATATTGCTCAGTGAATGCACTGCTGGCTGACATGGAGCGTATGATTGACTGTTTTAACTTCTGCCAACAGTTGGAAACTTAAAATGTTTCATGGTCCTGTTTCAGAATTTGTTACTTGTTTTTATACAGGCTTTGTGTGATGCAGCCCTTGTACAATTCATTTTCCATTTTGACTTCTCGGCTCTGCTTTTTTTTTTGTCTAGTTTTGCTATTTAATCAAGTCAGAATTGTCCATGTTCCCTTCTCAATGTATTTAAAGTCAAAGTACAAATGTAAATCTATTTTTGTTGTCAGACAATCTCTATTTAATCAAACTTTCCTTGATCTATTTGGCAAAGAAGAATGTGCAAAAATGTCAGCCTTGCAGCAATAATTTCACCAAAAGATGCATCTACAAAATATTGAGGCAGGGAGATGAATACATTTATTCCAGACTTTTCAGATATGCATCTGTATTTAAAAAAAACATTGATGAGTTCCTTCCACTTCGCAATCATTCACTACTTTATATTGATCCATTGGATACATTTCCAATAAAAGACATTGAAATTTGTGGTGGTAACATGAGAAAATGTAAATCTTGTTCAAAGAGTATAAATGATTTTGCAATACATTGGAACATGATGGCAGATTAAAGTTATCTTAACTGTGCTCTGTTCTAATGGCCCCTTTTGGGTCCAGTAATATTGTACTGGTTACTTAGCTGTTTACTTTTTTAGACCAAACTGTTGACTTTTCAAATAAGTAGAAATGAACTTATTTATTTCCACTCGAAAAGACTCAGGATGGAAAGCTGCTGTTCTTTTAACAGCAAACCTGCCACACTTCTATTCATATATCTTTAATCCTTTTTGTTTTCACTGTAGGTGAATATGTTCACAAACCAGGGGACGGTGATCCACTTCAATAACCCAAAGGTTCAGGCCTCCTTGGCTGCCAACACGTTTACGATCACAGGGCATGCTGAGAATAAACAGCTAACAGAGATGCTTCCCGGAATCCTCAACCAGATGGGAGCAGATAGTCTTACCAGCCTCAGGAGACTAGCAGAAACCCTGCCCAAACCTGGTATGCACCATAAACTATTCCTGGTTTTCTCCACGACTATTGTTGTATGGTGTCTAATAATAAAATTCCCTAATTTTCATCATAGCTGGAGACAACAAAGCTCCCATAGATGCTGCTGAAGAGGAAGATGACGAAGTTCCTGGTAAGCAAGAACATTTGCATCTCATTTATTTATAAATACAGTGTATCTTGCTGAATTGTTGCACACTAAAGGCTCTTAGAAATAGCTAGATTTTTAATAATAAGATGAGTGAGTCTACTAGTTCAAATATATGCTTTAAATAATTTTACCATCGTTTGCAGAAGTCCAAGAGAAAGCTTTATCGCTAACATAAACTGAAAGAATTCACTTATACCTATATTGTATTTGTCCAAATTTATTCTTATTTCTTTCTAATCTGTTTATATAGTTCTAAATATAATACGCAGTAACACTTTGTTTCATTTGCTGTTTATTCTTACTTCCTTTTTCTTTTTGCATTTTCAGATCTTGTGGAAAACTTTGATGAAGCTTCAAAGAACGAAGCAAATTAACCAACATAACGACATCCGAGTGTTTCTTGAGTCACCACCGTATTTAAGTCATGTATTTGTGGCTACAAACATAATCTGCTTTTAAATTCAACAATTGGGTTGGAACAAGAAAATTGACTTTTTACGAAAAATGTTATTATACAGTTAAAGCAAACAGAATTTAGCAGAACCTGCACAAGCTTCTCTTTCTCATGCTGCCTTCTTCACATTGCAGTACCCATGCATCAAAAATGTATTGGTGGAATTAATTGTGTGATAAATCTAACATTTTAACTTCTTTTATATATGGAGCAGAACAGTTTTGCTTTGTTTTGTTTTTTCACAAATTAAAATCATTGGAGCTGTTCATCATATTCAAATGTTAAGTTCTTAAAACAGTAGAAGTATTAAAAAATCTCTCTTCTATCAAGGAGCACTGACAAAGATGAGTTGCAAGGCAATTATGTTCCCAAACACAAAGAAAAACAAACACCACTGTTGTAACACCACATAAAATATATGGCATACAAAAAACCCAAATTGTTATACATATATTACTACAAATCTTAACTAAAAACATTGACACTGAAGTTGTTTTCAATGTTTGTTTTTTTAGATTAATAATTGATAATTAAACCAAGTGTAGTATAGCTTGGAAATCCTTACATTTGAAAGCAGCTTTGGGAAATTATGTATGTGACCTCTGACCTATAAAACAACTTTCTAAAGATGGAAAGCTGGTATACACAATACATTGAAACAGTATTTGAGCAGACTGAATTTAATGTTGGAACTTGTCCTTCAATATGTTAGCCATGAACTTTTTTGAAGTAACATTTAACAACCAATAAAGTTTTCATGTTTTTATTATTTGGAAAATTCAGATCAAACACTTTATATATCTGTCTGCATAGATATTAGAATGTAGCTATAGAGGAGGGAAACTAAAGAAATGTAATTAAAAATCAATCTTTTGGAGTGCCTGGATCAACATAAAAACATACCTGTAAATATAATGCATACATTTTAAACAAGGTCTCATTTTGGATAATAAGGGAAGAGATTGACTGGGATGCCCCTAAACTGTAAATCATGAGATTTAATGAAACACAAGGTTATTTCCTATTGTAAAAAAATAAACATGTTTTTATTGTTTCTGGTCAGACAAAACTCAGATTGGTTGAGACAGGCATGGTATTTCCTGTTTCTGGAAGGCTCCTTTGTCCCCCTCAACAATTTCTTGGAGCCACTTGGAGTTTAGGATGTGTCAGAAAGGGACAGAATGGACTGGGAATCATTTAAAATCCCACTTTCCATTTTGTGAAAACATTTATTGTATTCATTCTCTTAAATGAAAAACATTCTCTTAGGCTTTAATTTTCTCTTTGAAACAACAGTGGGATTTGGTTGAATATTCCTTCTCAATGTAAGCGATTTATAGTTATTCCAAAAGGTTACCGGGACTTATGGTTTGTTTGTTATGGAGATTAATAAACTTATTTTAAAGTGAAATACTGAATAATCAACAGCTCAAAGTGCATTTTGATCATTTAAGAAATTAAGCAAAGAAAATGAGAAATGACTCCCCTGGCTAGTACAGGGAATTTAAGAAAAAAGACAAATGTATTGCTTTAACATTCACCAGTTCTGTAAACTCATGACTTCCCATCAGCTTAACAATGAAGGTACAGTTGTTTTTTTTTTCACAGCTCAGCATCTGCATGGCCTTGGACGGTTCAAACCAAGTACAGAGAGGTAAACAACCTCCCAGAAGCTCTTCATCTTCAGTCTTAATTAAGCCAAAGTTTTATTTTGTCATAACTGGAGGATCAGTCCTGGGCGTTTTCACACTGTCCAAGAGTCAAGTGTTAAACCCTTGGAAGTTCTTGATGAATGTTGCACCGGCACTTTCAAACACCAGCTTTGTCAAACAAAATCTGTGAGACATTGATCGACCGTGGAGTGACGATGAGGAAACTGGAGTGACGATGAGGAAACTGAAAGTTGAGCTGATTCTTTGTGAATATAAAGTGGGATCAGTCATTCAAACATTCAGTAAAAATCATAAGTAAGTTTGGCTCCAGTGGAGAGATCCTCAAATTAGTAAATTTGCTTTGATTTTTATTTACCAATTTACAGAAAGCTACATGCAGCATCTCCTCATGGTCAGCAAAGATGTGAGATGGATGGACAGATACTTCGTTGGCATTACTGAATAACAATTTTTTTGTGCAGTTTTGACAATTTTGAGAATTGTTCAGTGTGATCTCTGTGGCACAACAGAAGGGTTTTTTTTTTTTGTTGATTTTTAAAATCTTTTTGTTTATTGCATTTGGGCCTTTCTGATGAGGTGTTTGGTGTTTACACTCCATCTCAGATTTTCTGAAATGTACTGTATATTTCCAGAAATTTGAGACTTGTGATACATTCTTCCTTCTCTCACTTGAAGTTCAGGGCACAGGGACAATTATTTGGTGTTTTTTTTTGTTTGTTGGTTTGTTACTATTTAGTCATTTTTTTCATTTTGTTGAATGACATGTTCTACTTATAAGCTTCTTCTTTAGTGTTTGAGATAAGATCCGTAATAGTTGAATAATGGTTTATTTTAGTGTTTGTGCTGTGGATTCAGGGAAAGTTGTTGGAGTTTTTTGTGTACTGTAGTGGGCTGAAGACACAGCCTTGGGGGACACCACTGACAGGTATAATATTTATTAAGGTGTGGCTACTTAGCTCAGAGACCCGCAGGAACATGAATAAACCATTTCAAACAGAGCTTTGGTCAGTAATGTTAGTTGACTGATAGTAATTCAAGTCAACATTTAGATTTCATATTTAGTCAACAATCACCCAAATTTAAACCAAATGATCAGATACAGACGCAGACGAGGTAATTTGACAGAATGATTTTTGATAAAGTGAAAATCTGTGGCACAAGTACCAGGACAGAAGTTTTATTTAGTGTCGTGTTGCATTGTTCATGCAGAATACAGTTTTGATGACACGTTTCATCTGACTTGAACAAATAGCACTTTGGAGTGTCCCAGAATTTCCACTTGAATCTGGTGGAGAATCTGTAAAGGGAGATAAAAGATTAAGGTGATGCTAAAGATGCCTCCAACCCTGAAACACTTGGTCTATCACTAAAAATAAAGCCTCAAAAATACCAGCAAAGGTAATACCAATAAAGGTTAGAATACTAATTATTGAGAAACCTACACATCATTTTAACGTGTTGTTTCACTGTAAAAAACGATTCTCCTTTGTTTTTAGTTTCTGATTGATGTCTGCCTCATTTCTGACCAGAAACAAAATTCCTAGTAGGATAAGAAACAAATTTACATTTAAAACAGTAAAGAGTATTAATAGTTTGGGGTTTAACTGTAAATACAGTAAGAAATTATGATTATGGAATAAGTTATTTTCATTATTAACATTAAATTTTACTGATGTTGCTACAGAAAACTGGAAAATATTTTGACCCGAATTCCGTGTTGACTGATTTTAGTTTATGAAAATAGATATAATGTGCTTTGGTGTCAGGTGGTGCTAAGCGAATTTATTTGTGTACATACAGGAACATGGTGAGTACTGACTGCCAGTAGCACTGTGAAGTAGTTTTATTTTGTTTTTATAAAGCCTTCTAAAGGAAGAATTAAGAACCTAGTGCTTGAGAACTTCATTTCTGAAAAAAATTATAAAACGGTAATAATAATAATAAAATAATACACATCTTAGTGCGTAGACCAGCCTCATTGGAAATGAATTTTATATTAGGAAAGTACCAAACAAATGGATCAAGTGAAATCAAAGGCAGTCCTGAAATAAACTGCATTTGAGCCCACAGAGCATTACTGCTTTAGTTTAAATAATATTTATGACTCAGTTGTATTCCAGGAAAAGGCAAGACTTAAAGTTTGCGAAGCTGGCAAAAAACTTTTGTGTAATTGTCAATTTCAAGTTATGTGATATTCCCCTGGTCTATCACATAAAATGCCAGAACAATACAATAGTAGGCAAAATGTCAAAAATGTTTGATTAACATAAATACTTTTATAGGTACAAGAGAAAAGTTGAGTTTTTGAGAATGTGACTCCTCACTCAGCCATTCACACAGTGATTCATGAAGTGGTTTCTCAGAATCCTTGTTGCTTTATGTTGTGAGATGGATGGACTGTCCATGCAGTTTATAAGAGTGGACAGTCTGCTTTCGGATAGAAAGTTTGAGCTTTTACTTTATTGTAACAAGATCAGGCCCTGGCAACAACATATGACTTTTCTGAACAACTCTGGGAGGAATGTTTGCTGGTAAAATGGTGGTAAAGGAAAGTTGTATTTAGACATTCTGGGGTACTGACATCACTGACACAGTCATCTGTGTTACTTGTGTCTCTACCAAATGTGATGGTAATAGTTAGAACAAACTATACACATATTTTATTTTTATTTTTTTATTCGAATATTTGGTTCCGGTGCTTATATTCAGTAGCACTCCTGTGTTCTGTGACTCCATTGGCTTATTAGGGTGAGTAAAACCCAGAACTTACTGAAACTGAAAGCTAATGAAAGTCATGCCGAAAATCATTTCCAGTGAAGTAATTAGAACTGTTGAATTTATTTCATATGTGTGAATATAAGCAGGGAATTTCCATTTCTTCAGTAAGTAATATGAATGTTTTGGTAAAGGTTATACATTGTATCATTTCTAGAGCACACTTTTTTAATTTTGCTTTCCAACTAATTTTGTTCACTAATTTTCAAAATGAATGACTCTTTTTTGCACTCTTATATTTGCATTTTCCCCAGCACAGGATGACACAAGCTTTTCAGGCTTTTAGGGAAGTGAAACACTACCCCCAGCTATTTTTTAGTTTACTGACCGAAGAGACTTCAAACGCTGGTTCAGCAACATATTTGCATCATGCATGTTGTGGTGAAGACAGCAAATTTACTCAAGAAAGAGGAAGGGGGGGAACGAAAACGATTATAACACCTAATGTAACTGGTACTCCTTCAACTACATCACACACACACGACAGAAACGATATGAAAAGAGGGAGGATAAACACCCAAGGCTCTGTTTCTGTTTCCACTTAGTTGACGCTGACATTTTGCCAAGCAGAGGAGGGTTGCCCCGTCTGTGATGGGGAAGTCCTGGTGCCAGTCCCATTTTTTTCCCTGCCCAAACTTTTTTGGATTGTATTTACATTGTATGTCGGGGGAATGCCATTGGAGGAGATAATTTTTTTTTTTCAAAATCTGAAAATAAGATAGTTTTAGATATAGGTATTTTATATGTTTTGGCTAATTTACCTCATAAAGTTTTTCTTTACAATAAAAAAAACTTTATTACTCTATTTAAAATTGCCATCTTACAAATTTATGGCCTTTTTGCCCATTTTCTTACACTTATCTGATTTAGATGAAACAAATTTTGACATCGGTCAAAGATAACCCATGTAAATGTAAAATTAAGTTTTTAAATAAGAATTTATTTTGGAAAATAATGTCCACACTATCCTTACTCCATGTAAAAACATAATTATCTCCTAAAACTAAATTGACTGGAACTTTGGAATATCTTACAACAAATACTGTATATATTTGCTGAAGCATTTTGGCCCGTTCTTCCTTGTAGGATTGTTTCAATTCAACCATGTTGGCGGATTAGGTAACCCTATTTTTTTTTTAGCCATATCGGTTAAGTGGGGGATAGGTCGAGAGCAGGAGGGGCTTTTGTTCAAAAGTATGAAACAACAAAATAGGACAATATTTTATTGTTTAATTTATTAAGAGAGCCCAAAATGTTGGTTTAGAGTTGCAGGTTCCAGAAAGCTGTGATTCTACCTCAGTGCAACTGAATCTAAAAGAGACAAACCCCTGTACTGTCACTTCAGTACATGGGGCTACAACAGGGGCCAGGACCAGTTTTACAAAGGCACCTGATCCCAACTTGGAAGTAATGACAAGTGAAATTCTATACAACATTAATTATGTTACACCAGCTAGAACTGCCCATGATTCTCCTGTGGGATTTAATTAGTAGAATTCATGATCATTTCATTTACAGCAAGATGTCCCAACTCTGAAGCAGATGTCATGATTGACTGTCAATAGATGATCTTTAAAAGGGCTGTGCTAGCGCTGTGTCATGTGTAATTGGATCCACACCTTCCAAAAGATCCAGTTGGGTTCATTTTGGTTAGCCACTCTTTCCTATCGAAGTTTCCCCACGTTTCCATGCAACCACAGTTGCTTCACACCACACTATAAGACCTTTGGGCACTTAAATAACTTAGAAACATCATAATATGTAGAAGAAAACATAAAATACAGTTTGTGGTTATCGGCTCTCGCTGCTCTTTGCTGGAGCCTCAAAGCCTTTTAATAGCGTTGTAAGTCTTTCAACAATGACAGATCTCATTGACTTTGTTTCTCATGTTCTTGGATCTGTTTTGGACATGCTGTGTTTTTTTTTTATCTTTCTTCACTTTGTCAGACATATTTTATTTAAGTGATTCATTAATTTTACAAGGCAAAAAACAAAACAGTGGCTTTATCTGTGAAAATAAACTAAATCTGTGAGGAAGTGTATTCTTTCTTACTACACTGTAATGCTAAAATATTTGTTCTTTGAAGATGTTATGAAAAGGATCATTTATTTTAACAAAGACACATAGATGAGAAATGCTTAATTTATGACCATAGCTATAAAATTTATGACTGGCAAAGAGAAAATTACATAATATGCCATAAAAAAAAAACGCTTTCTTCTTGATGTAGAATTAGGTCTTTTTCTGAGTGTGGACTTAATATTCAAATTACAGTGCATGTGAAAAGTTAAGTTTTTCACCTTAATGGTCAGTGGCAAAACCCCCGCCTCATTCAGACACCCACAGTCCTTATCCGCATCTTTCTTTCTTTTTTTTTTTCTTTTTTTTAACCCTAGTCGAAACTCAGATAATATCTTTTTGCAACGTCTGAAATGCAAAGCAGAACTGAGGAAATGAACTATCTGCGGGCTTTTATTAGCTCACTGCAGGTCAGTTTCTATGGGACCTCAAAAAAAAAGGTGTTAAAAAGAGGTGTGGAGTGATCTGATGATGTCTGCTTCACACCACACTATAAAAATCATACACTGTGAGTAGTTAGAGCATACATCACCAGGTTCACTTGTCCTTTCCGCCTGACTTCAGAGTAAATCCATCTAATGGTAAGAAATAACTAGAATAAAAGAAAAATAATTACTTTCTTGTCTGAGCTAATTTTAACTTTAGAATGTTTCAACTATCAAAATAAATATTTGACTTTTGTTGGCATCATTATAAAAAAAAAAAACTTTGTAATTACAAGTCACTGACCTGCCTAAATCTTTGTTTGACAAAGACACAAAGATTGTAAATGTTTAATTTATGACTGCAGTTATAAAATCTATAACAAGCCAAGAGGAAGATGAAATAAAATTTTTCTCTTGAACTTCCCCTTTGACTCTCTCACTGTCAAACAATCTAGATGACCTTATTGTTGTGGATCACTGCCTTTCTGCTCATCAGCGCAACAGCAGCTGCTCAACAGGCTAACCTCGACCACTTTCCAGAAAACTGTAGGTTCTTTCAGCACACACACATTTTTCAATTCTCATTTGTGCCTCATGTGAAAGTGATTCATTTTGTCTAAAATTAGTGCATCTCTTTGTTCATCTCTCTGAATCTGTGTAGTTGTGGTGGCAAAACGAGGCGAAGATTCTGTCAGCCTGACCTGCCTTGCGACCACCGCTGGACCTGTGACATGGAAGCTCAACAACGAAGACCCCGATTTTGAAGACTACATGAGCAAGAGTGGCCATAATCTAATCGTAAGGGATGTGGATACACCCCTGCTGGGGGAATACAGCTGCTGGAGAGGTGAAACGAAATTGTCGTCGATCTATCTGCTGCAGGAGACTGACGAAGAAGAGGATACAGGTGAGTCTCATCTCTTTATCCATCTGCCGTTCGTTCAACTGAAACTGGCTGAGTTAGTCACAGAAAGCTGATGCGTGTGACAATCTCTGGTGTTCTGTTTTTAGTCGCACTTCCATTCACTCTCGCTGTTTATTATTGCAGATTCTTTGTTCACATGCCGTGCAAAGTCCTATGGTTGTAGATTCAGCTGCAAATGGACTGAAGACAGCTACGGAGCTGTGCGCCTTGGAATTGGCCCTGACTGGTAAAAATTAATTCAATTAAGGAGACCACATTTAGTGCCTTAAAAAAGGCCATTGTATAATTACTGTCAATTCTGGTAAAGATGTGTAAAAAGACATTTATCACGTTATGACATAATCTTCCTCTAAAAAAAATTAAATATAACCTCCAATCGTACCACATAGAGTGGAAGGTGCCACCATGACTGACACAATAAAAAATTCTATAAAACAGGTAAAAATGAATAAAATGGCTTTTCTGAGCTGTCAGGATGTGTAGGAGCCTGTGAGTCAAACCACTGAAGTAATCTATGACTTTATGATGTCCTGGTCATAAAAAACATCGAATGGCACACCGGCTCATTTCTTTTATCTTCTCTTAATATTAAAAACAAGAGGACATGCCATTTAAGTAAAGCATATGCATGTTGATCTTCATAAGTCAGAAAAAGGGGATGAATTAATGGAGATCGAGATATAAGAAAATAACTACTTATCCTAAACTTTTACTCCATCTGCAGTTATCAAATAGCTTAAAATAATTCAAATGTATCATTTATATTTTACTTTTTAGGTTGATCGGAATGTCGAAGAGCGTTTAATTAGTAATCCATGACATAAATAAAACATGGTACAAAGGATTTTTTTTGTTAAGCCAATTTTGAAATGGGAAACATACACTGGCAAGTGGCAAGAGAAACATGCCACTTCAGACAGACAAATGTAGAAGGAGCTTTATGAATTGAAGAAAATAGTGACAGGCCTGACCTTGCCCATATCTCCAAGAAGATTAGAAAAAAAATATTAAGAATAGCTTAAAGTGTGACTAACTAGTTTGGACAAATAACCATGTCTTTCCTTTGACCATAGACACTGAAGAAGGGACATGAAAAATCTTTAAAACTGACTGTCAGAGAACTATTGCATACAGAAGACTTTTGTGGACATCAAGCCTCCATAATTTATTTTCAGACTTTTATGCACATCTTTGTCCTGCAACTTTGAAGGGCTCTTTAGCTGTTGAGCATCATTTATTGATCTAATGAAGTGGTATTGATATCTGACGTCTGTGGTGCTGTTTGCCCCTATAGCACTAAAGGTCTGCCATCATGTAACTGGGTGAGCGGCCAGCCCAACAGCCAGGGATTCCACTTTGAGCTGACCCACAACCTCTCACCATTTGGTGAGGAAAGCACCAGGCTGGAGGTCACCGCCGAGGCCATCAACGACTTCTTCCTCCTCAGGAGAACCAAACTGTTTTATCTTAGAGACATTGGTGAGTTGAATGAAAATATGGGAAAACTGAAACAACTCAGTGAAAGATTACCAGCAATTTCACAACGATCTGAAAAAAAAAAAAAAGCTATTAGAAAATAAGCTAATTTCAGATGACAAAGCACAAGAAATCAAGTATCAAGTGCTGGATTAAAACTTATCGTTCTATATTTCTCTGAGAAATATTTCAAATGTTTTTCCCATTTCTATGCTTTTGCTTTTGTTTGCTCCTCTGCAGTTGTACCTGACAGCCCCCAGATTGTCAGGGTTGAGGTGGTGCAGTCGAACTTGAATGTCAGCATCGAGCCACCGTCCAGCTGGTCGACTCCTCACAGCTTCTTCACTCTGGAGCACGAGATTGAATACGTGCTCAGAGACAATGGAAAGGTAAAAACGACCAGACTCTGAACCACAGTTTTGGGTTTTAGGGTTGTTTCATGTTCTTTCTGTGGTATTTTGTTGTCTGACTGTAGTTTCTGTTTGACTTCAGACCGGAACCTCTTCGTCTTCTCTGATACCGAAGAAGATCAGCATGTTCAGGGCCCGCTCCAGAGATCCGCTGGTGTTCTCATCTTGGAGTCATTGGACTCCCTGGAAAAATGTAACCCACTGAAGTTATCTGATCGCACTTCTTTCAGCTTCTACTCTTTGTATGCTCTCATGTGTCCCGCCTGTCTGCAGTGTCTTCTCGTACTTATTAGGAGGGACTTTGATGACGTAAACTTCTGCCTATCCACAAACCATCTGGAGCCCATCGATGATTGAATTTTAACACAGACCATAAAACGTTTATACTGAGAAAGAGAGTGCTATTAAATTTAATTTGACAGTTTCAGCATAAAACAACAGACAAAATAATTTAAAATTGGAATTTAATATCTAGAGGGACTTGCAGATTGTAAAAATACAAAAAACAATATTTATTGTTGTTACAACCTGACACTACGAGTTCAATGCTATCCTTATGTTTGACATTGGTTTGTTCACAAACACGTCTTAGCCAATAATAACCTATTATCTGTGATTGCTTTTGGTTTGAGCCAGTTAAACTTGGCCGCCTCCACTGGATTTCATCAACTAAAATGTATTAGTTATGGTGCTGTCCTTGACCCAAAGAGGGGCCCAAAATCAAACTCTGTCAAACTCTGTTACAATCTCAAAACATACAGTTTTTTTATGTGCCATAGACAAAATGTTCATATATTTTTTTTATATTTAATCTTATTTTTTATATTTATTTGTGGTAAAAAAATATATATATATATATATATATATTTATTTATGAGTATTTATTAAGTTTAAAGTTTACAGAACACTTATTGCTAATGTCAAGTCTGATGCGTCATTGCGGGGGTTAACTGAGATCGAAGGGGGAACTCTCAGCTCACATCTCAGTTGGAGGAGTCTGCTTCAATGTCTGACATCACAATGTATGTTTGTTATTTTTGTTCGTATGTTGGTGTTTCTGTGAACTTCTGTGGTTTTATGCAGAGCTAAGCAAATGAGTATTAAAAGAGCTTTCTGCTTCCTTCCTTCATTTACGTGTTGCCTGTGTAATGCATGTATGAGCTCAACAGAGAAGTTCCCTTTTAAAGTGATTCTCGGTGAACGCTGTCGATTCAAATGTCTTCATAAGGCGTGAGAATCTCGGCCTTTGCTGTACGGACGAGAAACTAATTTCAAAGTGCTAATTAATCAAATGCTTTTTGCCAATATATAAAAAGGAAGCACACTTTCCAAAACCCACAAAAAATAGGCACTACTAATTTAGTCACTACAGTTCCTTGTGAACCTTTTCATATCTCTTTAACATGTTCATATATTGTCACATGATGACCAATGTATGTCATGAGATAAACCAACACTAAATCTTTTACAAATGTGAAAAGTGTGGCATATTCATCAACAATGACTTTTATTTAACCTGATAAAAGTTGAGATCTTCAATAATTTTTCAAAGAAAACCTGGCAAGATAGTAGCACCCTTTACAAGTATAAACATTTACATCAAACCAAAAAAATAGATTCATTTTTCCATGATCCCATCAATAAAATGCATCCAAATATCACAATAATCCCACTGCAATGCTTTCGGGGCTGGCATGATGAGACCAGTTTCATGTGTTTTTGTAGCAAACATCATTTTTCTAACAGGCCAGAGAGATTAATTTCTGTCCACCCTGATCAGAGTATCTTCTTCCACAACAGATAATAGAAATTATACTTCTTGCAGCTTTCTGTGACAATACAATTCCTCCATGAAGGTCAGACTTAGAGGCTTCACCAGTGATAGTTGCATTTTCCTTTCTCAGCCGTTGACCTCTGCTGCTCATCTGGAGTTTCAGTTTCTTAAGTGTTTATTTGATTTGTTCTCTCCTTTATGTTCCTCAATCTTCACAATGTTGTTTTCCACTAGTGTTCTGTAACAAATCTACCAAAGCCTTCGCCAATCAGCTGTATTTGTAAAGAGAAATGTTTTGTAATCGACATATTGCCTGTCATTCGCTTCACAATTGTTCAGTCTTTTGTGTTGGTCTGATATATAAACTACATTTAATGTTGCAATGTAACAAAATCCCCCCCAAAAAAATTAAAGAGGAAAGAATACTTTTGAAAGAGCTGATGAAATGCTAAAATATAAAGAGGTATTTACATGTATAACAATGCCACTTTACTCCATTTAAGTCACTTTATAATTTTAGTGGAATAAAGTCAGAAAGTGACTTTGGGAAGAAATTAAAAACATGTTCTGTTATCCCTGTATTTTTTTAAGGCAAACTACAGATAAATGTCTAATATTTGACCTTATTTTTATTAGTTAAATTTATACTTGTGTTAAAACTGCAACAGAGAGATAGGCAGTAAACATCTAGGATTTTTTTAGTCTCACATGATATTGTGGTGAAATGTTTTTAAGCATTACACTCATCACAAAAGAAATTCATCTGATTATTTTTGGATAATAGTTCATGCTAAAATTCTAAGAAAAATAAGCACAAGAATGAGAAATCCCCCATCTTGTGAAAATGATCCAGCTTGGCTCCAAGCATTATTGTTCAACAATGATGCTTACCATTTGATTTATGAGTCATTCACAATCTTTGTCATCACATGGTCTTCCAATTTAGAGTTTCTATGAATTTGGACAAACGCATTTTCAGTTTTCAGTTTTCAGTTTTCACTTCAATATCTAATCTGTTGCTGCTTTATTGCAGGGGAGGAATTCATGCCAATGTAAAAAGAAGCAGACATCTGAGCTGTCACCCCAGTGTTTGGAACGCTGCAAGAAGAAAATGGAGAAAAGAAGAACTAAACATGTTAAACAAAGTCAACATCTTCTAAAATGAAGTTGTTTTTGACAGAAATGTAGACATTTGAAATGAGAGGGAACATCTTGGCACACAACAAAGCACTGACAGATCAATTTCTGTTTTTAATTAGAGAGAAAAAAAGCTCCAAAAAACAGTTTTTCATTTGATGCATTCACATGAGTGAAGAACTAATTAAGTCATTGAGCTGTGTTGGAGTTATCTGGTTTCAGAATACAAAACTGCATGGCGAGTGTCTGTCAGACATTTAGAAGGTTGAAGCAGAAAAACAAGGAAAGGAACAAAACATTAGCAGTGTGTGTGAAGCCACTGCCAGGTCAGTGACCAGTATGCACTCAGTGGGGATTGTTTTGACCATCTCTGGTTTGCATGAAGCTGGGAAACTCTAGAATTGTACAAACAAACAAATTCCACCCACAGGATTGCAGTTGTGGGCTTTTTTTTTCACCTTGGCTCCATCTACAGCTGTGGTACACAACAACATCGCTGTAAAATCATTGCATTAAATCCTCTAATGTATCTGTTGAGACATCCAATAAATTATAAAATATTTGCTCTAATATGGATAATAGGTCAGAAAATGACATTTTAAAAAAATGATGTCTATAGTTTTGATATTCTGATGTTAATCGTTTTGTTTTATTATAGCTGTAAATTGAAATTGTTCCCAATCAGCAGAAATAAAAGCTTGAAAACATCAATCTGTATGTTCTTGAACTGCAAATGAAAATACTGTATGAAACAGACAAAACATCTTGAGAGACTGACCCTCTATAACTTTAATACATCAAGACACTGTAAAGAGAGATTTTACAGGACACACGCTTTCTTATTTCATGCAGCTTTTCAAAGATTTTCTTTTATTTTATACGATTCCCTATGTAACATTTATTTTTTATGAAAATTCTCCACTTTCAGATTTCCTTCCCTCTATTATTTTGATAATTTATGAAAAATACATCATATTTTTTTTCAGTCAACTTTGTACATAATGTTTCCATAATTGCCACAGTCAATTTATTTTATTGTTTTTGATCGTTTGATGGCAATAAACATGAATTCAACAACCCATGTGTTTTTTCTTGTTAAAAGAAATTTCTTAACATACTCCATAACAAATGGAATAACATCTTCTTTAAAATATCCGTTGAAAGAAATCAGTTGAAAAAAATCCAAAATATACTGTATGTAAAAATATTATTGGACATATAAGCCCCACTTTTTCTTTATTTATTATACATGTTCATCAAATCAGGAGGCTCGTTGGTCAGAGTATTTAGAATAACAGTAATGCAGGAGATGAACATACATTTAATTAATCCAAGCATTTCTGTGTTAGTGTGATGTAGAAGTCATGATTTTTATCAAGTGAAGATGAAAAAAAATCATCATAATTAACAGAAGTAAAGGCCTGAAAACATAATCCGTGTGAAATAATTCTAGAATACGATTCACTGGAATATAAAAATAACAAAACAGGAATAACAGCATTTAGTCATTATGCTTTTAGGCAGTGATGCCAATTTGCTTATCTAAAAATTTGCTGCAGAGTTTGTTCGGATTATCTCAGCCCCTTTGTGTTTAGATTTAGGTTAAATCACAGCGATGTTGTACTTAACATGTACAACATCTCTATGTCAAATTTTCTGTAATTTAACTTTTTTCTGTGACCCACTTACCTCCTGCTGCACCGGGGGCACAGCCGTCCCCACACTGTCCTCACTGTGGCGTCCCGCAGGGCCGGGCTCCCCCACACGTAAACGGACGGAGTGGAAACAGAATTCAAACGGGCCAGGATTGCAAAAAGGTTTGTGGCTTCGTTTCTAAACGTCAGCCCCCCTCCTGTAAAGAACCTAATGGCAATATTCACAAAAGAGGGGCACCACAATACCAGGAAGCTTATCACAACAAAAATAATGATCTTCAGCGACTCTCTCTTGCTCTCTCTCTCTGGGCCTGGCGGCTCCCTCTCCAGCTGATACTTTGCCACAACATAAAGTTTGATTGTCATGACCACTTTGGTGAGCACTATCAGCTGAAAGAATATGATTCCAAACACATACAGCTGTGTGGCTTTGGAGACTGGCAGCAGGTTCCTAACCACCAGGTTGGCAGCATTGTACAGCCAGCAATAGACATTTATTCCTATCACAACCTGCCTTGTTATGAAGCGGCTGTAGACAAATGGATAGCATACAGCAAAATACCTGTCAAACTGAGCAAACAGAAAGGTCATAATGTTGACCCCTAGCAGATCCCGTAACACACTGTATGTCCCGTTTCTGAAAGGATACCCATCATGAACATCAAACAGGCCCAGATAATACACAGAGAAGCCCACCAGAGTGTCACAGATGCTGGTGTTCAGCATGAAAATGAAGCGGTTCTGAAGGCGGAGCGCTCTGGTGGCCGAGATCCCGATCACCACTGTCCCTGCAATCAGGACGGTGGTGGTGGCGAACAAAATCTGGAAGATGAAGATGAAGTAGTCCTCTGGACTGCTGAAGTCCACAGAGAGAGGAACTCCTGCTGCTGCAGAGTGCGTCATGTTGGACAGGAGCATCGTTAATGGAGCTCAGCCACAAACATCGAGATTTATGTTCTGTGAAGCCACTGGAGAGGAACTCCCCAGAGTTTAAGTCAATTCTCTCATCAGACTTTTGCAAAACTTACTAACGTTTTGTCACGTAACCAAAACACTAAAGGTATCTTATTGCCCTTTTATGTGATTGAAACTATAATTCTGAAATTATATGCCACTTACACTCAGTGGCATAAAATGTGAAATTACTTCATTTATGTGTTCATTTATTTTTCAAAGTGTGTTATGTATCAGCCACTTTTACTCTAAACCCCTTTACCTTGAAACTTCAGCTGATTGCTGATCAAAGTGGACAGAAACATAAATGTAACTAATGTGATCTTTATCATTTCTGTCTGGGTGATTTTGAGTGCAGATCCCAATTTCTAAACGTGCAGAGCTGGTGAGGAGGATAGTAGCTTTACAATATGCACACCGCCCTTTTCAGTTTTTTATTTGCTAAATAAAAATTAAAAATGTGTTCAATTCTTCACCACATTGTTTGGTCTTTACAATAAGATCACAAAAATTCAGTTTCACACTTGAAATGTAAGAAGGTGATGGAAGAAATGATGAAGGCAAACATATAATTCAACCACTTTATTGAATGTCATTTGTTGAAACCTGATTTTTGTACTTTGTCTTTTATATGAGTGTTTGGTTTTTGTTTCCTTTTACTTCTTTTTATATGACATCACTGATCTGAAGTTGTTCATCTTATTCACCTACTGTATGTCCTGTGTTCTGTCTATTCTATGTCCAGTGTTTGTATGATACAGATGAGATTCTGCATTTTTTTCATTCTGTTTTTTTTTTATTCTGTGTTTTTATTTTTATTTTGTAGTAGAATTGATACAACACCAGTAGAGAGACTTATTCACACATTTGAAACGTGTTCTCTTGTTTTTTCCCTCTCCTACAGACGACAATTTTAAAAAATCCCTTTGTCATAATTTTAAGTAGTTGTTAAAACCCAAAACCGGAAGTGAAACCAGCTACTTTGTCTTAGCAAAAAATGATTCATTCAAGCAACAGATGATTTGTTCTTCATTTCATTAGCTGCACTCACACAGATGCTTTTTTATTTATTTATTTATTTATTTTTCTAACAACACTGGATCTTAATTGCACGCATTTAGGAAGCAACTATATTACTAGCCTGAACCACTGAGACATAAAACTGTTTCTGTAGGTTGTCAGGTTTTGGAAAATGTGACAGCACAAAATCCTCCCTTAAATTACAGGGTTATTTGTGCACAACATACACCAAGGAAGAGCAGCTTTGCACACTCACCAGTTAGTGATGGTAGTCATTGCTTAATAGTCCCGTGATTATTAGAAGGTTTTCTTTAGTTTTATACTGAGTCACGGGGATGTGACTGAAACTGATGAGGAAGGAAAGAAATGTTCTTTTCCTGTTGCTGCAATAACAGCTGAACTGAGTTTCTTCCGTCATAAAATTCAGTTGGAAGGACTTTATCCTGCACGTTTCATTAAGAGGCTCAAACATTTTAGTCTCTGAAAAGATAAAACTGTATTTTATTAGAGTACGTGAGTAAAACAAACAAACAAAAAAAAGATAATTAAGAAGCACAACAAAATAAAATAGACATAAAAAAAGGAAACAAGTAATGTGTGAATTTTAGAACGTTGTTCAAAGTTCAGACAAATTCTCAATGTCGTAAAAATAATATTGGGGTGTAATTTAGGAAACTAATATTTGACTAAGACTGAGATAAATAACTTGGAATTTGATGATTTATCATTTTTCTGATTGAAGAAATGAGGAACATGGAGGCAGAGGAGCATCATACTTCCAAGAAGATATAAGATGATACATTTTAACAGGAACTTTGGGGAGAATTTGGGATCAACCTTTATGACACAGAATGAGCCAAGGCTTGGAATATGACAGCTTTAAGAAATGTCCCAGGAATGCTATTCAATTTATAAACTTATCTTTTTCAGCTGCCGTATACTCAAAGCTTTCCTTTGTTTTACTCCAGCAAACACTTCAGAACAACATTCAGAAGAACTGTGAGGGTAGTGTTTCATTCAATAGAAAATCCAGCCTGCTGACAAACAGCTAAACATGAAAGAGAAATCTATACTTTTAATCATAACTTAAAAATAAGGTCACTGTAAAACTGTAACTATTTCTGGGTTAAGTCATCACTGTTTTGGATTATTATGACTCATCGAGATGCATCCATAAATAAAGTGCAAATTTAGAATTACATATATGATTTTTTTTTCTAGCAACATCATTATTAAAGCCATATTACCTAAAACTTGGCATGCAGCAAATGATCAGGTTTCTTGAAGATTATAGGGTTAGAAAATAAGAAAACTTAGCAGCCCAGAAATTTGAACCAAAAAACTACATTGAGAAATTTGAGGGAAATTTACAATTTTACAATTGAAGTCAAATCAGCAAGTAATTAGTTTAAAAAATATAATTTTTTCCTAATTAAAGCACCATAGGGGAGAACATGCAGGCTCAGATCCGATACTTTTTAAGATCAGTCTTATTAAATTGAATCAGTATTGCTGAACTGAATAGACAAAGATTACGGACTTAACTGAAAAACAGAAAACATTTGCATCTTTTACACACTAAAGCAGTACTGTTTAAAGTATTTCCACAAAAGTAGAGGATTATATTACTGTTCATCTTGGCGCCTCACTGGGATCTGCCTTCGGACAAGAGCCACATCTGGACATAAAAAAGAGCTTTTATGAGTTTATAATCATTGGATAATTTATCATTGATTATCCATATGAATCACATCTGTTTTGAACGCAACTTTTAGGGAGACCTTTATCTTTCCTGATGACTGACAAAAATGGACAACTTTCAATTGAACTGAATAGTGGCTGCACTTTTTTTCCCAAGATGCACTTACTTTCTCCTGCTGCACTGGGGGCACAGCCGTCCCCACACCGTCCTCATCGTGGCGTCCCGCAGGGCCGGGCTCCCCCAGATGTAAACGGACGGAGTGAACAACGCATTAAAACGAGCGAGGATCGCAAAAAGGTTTGTGGCCTCACTCCTGAATGTCAGCCCCCCTCCTGTAAAGAACCTAATGGCAATATTCACAAAAGAGGGGCACCACAATACCAGGAAGCTTATCACAACAAAAATAATGATCTTCAGCGACTCTCTCTTGCTCTCTCTCTCTGGGCCTGGCGGCTCCCTCTCCAGCTGATACTTTGCCACAACATAAAGTTTGATTGTCATGACCACTTTGGTGAGCACTATCAGCTGAAGGAAGACTATACTGAACACAT